CGGATGGGTTTTAGTTTTTTTATTGCCCGCGGGCAGCTCGCTTCCGCGAGCACGCGGAAGCGGTCGCGGATTCGCCCGTGTTTTTCCGACAGGGCTCGTATGAACCTTTGAGGACAGGGAAGTGCCAGAGTCTGCTGGGTTGCGCTGGCCAATGGGGATGACTCGCTTTGAAACCCTAAAACAATGTTTTTTTAGGGCGTGTTACATCGCAGACGAAACTTCGCCAGGCTTAGAGCTTGGGTTCGGATTGAAGAGGCGCAGAGTCACACCCGACTGTCGCGAATCTGCCCTGGTTTCGCCGTGACAAACCCACAGTGCTGGAATTCCGCCACATATCATGGCTGGTCGCCCAACGGGATGAGTCGCCCTCGCGAACTGGCGAATTTATTGGTCGACCAGTGCCCTGTTCGATGCAACATTACACGCCCTTAGAAGCCGCACAATGGGGAGAAATCCGTAAAACGGCTGAGTTTGCAGGGACAATCATTTGAAGCACAAAAGTAGCAATGGCGTCCACAGGAGCCGGCCAACAAGTAGTGAAGGCAGTTGCTGAGTTAGCTCAGCGATTACGACCGTCATTCGTTAATGGGAAGTGGCGCGGTGCAGCAATTTCCGCGAAGAACCGCGCACGGTTGCGACGAGAGACTTTACTGTCTGGCGAGTGAGTTCTTCTAGGCTATCTCGGTTCGGAACAAAAGTACAACAGATCAGAAACCGTTTGAGCTGTGATTTACCTAGGTCGTAGATTATGATTTAGCGTCACTCGTATCTTGCAATGGCTTCCTGTCGTGCGACCGCGGTGGGAGCAGCTGTTATGTTGGCGCGTTCCTTGATGAACGGACGCCATTGTTCTCGTTTTTGTTCGGCTTCGATCGTCGAGGTAACGCCTAATCGCGCTTTCTAGAGATATCGAGGCCGGATTTTCTGAGATTCGCCACTTCCTGCTGCCTCGTCATTCTCTCATTGCTTGAGTCCCATCTCGTCTGTGTTCGTGTGATGGTGTGAGATGCGTGCATGTGTGTTGTCCTTCTTGTGGGAGGGGCTCTGTGGTATTTGTAGCTGGAGCGGTGTGGAAAGGGGGGCTTGAGAGGGCGTGCCGATTTTCATGATATGTCTGTCTGCATGTGTTGGGGGGGGAGGGGGGGGAAGAAATGTGTGCCTGAACGTTTTGTCTGCATGCGTGTGTTGGAGTGGCAGGGAGTGGCCTTATGACGCTCCTCGGAAGGAGATGAAGACCAAGATAAAGGGTCACAAGCACGATAAGGAGGCTGCAGTGAGGTTAGCCTGCGATTCTTTAAATTTAGAGTGTTGGTTTGCTATGGAAGAAGCCCACGTTCAGCCCACTTTCGCACCCCAGGTTGCTGCCAAGTTTGCGCTTGGTGATCTCTGTTCTGGGCTCAATCACCATAATACTCCTCTATGTCTTGGTATGCAGGCAAGAAAAAATTGCAGAGAATATGGCCAAAATGCCCGAATTGCTTGAGCAAATGAAGGTATGAGAGAAATGTGTCTGAACATAAGTGCAATGCTGGTTGCTGTTCATTTTGTGCTTACTTTTGGGTGCCTGTCCATTTTTTTGCAGAAACGGCAAACAGAGGCAAAAAAAAAGTCTCCAAAGAAGCAGTAAACGGATAGGAGGTAAGAATTGGATTCATTTGCTCAATAACTCTGTCAAGACAGCATCGTTATGCTGAGTGTATCTGTCAAATTTGAGATGAAAACTCTGCGAGATGGGCACATGATGTTAGGAGAAGGTTGGCATCTGATGTGTTCTTGTTGCCAACTCTACACATGGTGCTTGTACTCCTGCTCAGTCCCTTCGACTGGCCCCTTTGTTACTGTGATTATTCCAGTCCGGTCTGATTTTATCATGTGTGCATCTTCTTCATCTTCAAAAACCTTAAAGCTGCGGCCTACATACTCCGAGCGGGAGGGCTGAGATTATCACTTGAAAACAGGGTGACCAGTTTTTGGACTCGGCCCCCTTTCCTGCAAAGTTAACGGTTGAGAGGGGTGGAGAGAGGGGGTTGGGGTTCTTTCCGCACGAAACCAAACTCCCCAGGTTGTTTCCCGCCCTTCCGCAGACCCTCCTCCAAACCACCCGTCAGAACGAAATTGGGCTGGATTCGAGTTTCCTGTCTGAGTTCGTCTGCTGCGGTGTTTCTGAAACATGCTGACTTCGTTCTCCAATCAGGCCGCACGAAAGGGTTGGCATAAAAAATACACCCAAAAAACACCACTTAGTATGTAGACCGCAGCTTTAAGCCACTTCCCTTTTCCCCTGTTTTTGATTTGACATGGCATTGCAGGTTTCAATATTTCAGGGTATACTCGAACATCACAGCATAGCATGTCATCCCAAGATCACCGAATAAGAATAATGCATCCAGATCAGATTGCCGCAGACATGGACTTCCTTCCGGGCATAACCATTGCTGCTGCTTCTGGTGGTTTGTAGGTTGTTCCCATTATTATGTACCTGCATTGAATGGTATACAGGTTAGTTTCTGATCTCATGGAAAGTAATGTCAAAACAGTATACCTGTAAATGACAGCTGCTAGTGCTGATCCCAGGCTGGGTGCAACCCAGTACACCCAGTGTTCTTGTGGCCAGATTCCTGATACAACAGCTGGCCCAAAGCTTCTGGCAGGATTCATGGATGCACCTGTAAATGGTACTCCCACCAAGTGATCGACTACCACCACTAGACCTATCGGTATAGGTGCTATAACACCTGTTGGACAAGCAAGCAGACATCAGGTGTGACGTGGCAAACGGCACCGCATGTAAGAATCAGGATACGGTACTTGCCTGGTCCTCTTCGGTCCACAGCGACACCAAAGATAACATATACCAGAGTAAAGGTTAGCATCAGTTCCATCAGAAAAGCATTGCCAACGGAAGTTCCGTGGCCAAGACTGTGACTGCCCAAGTGACCTAAATCTGCTGCAGGGATGGACGCCCCCAACAAGGCAGCTCCGCAGATTCCCCCAACCAACTGCAGATGACAACAATATGTCAGTTATGGATGCTGCTAACTTGCTCGTGAACAATAGGGGCTGCAGAATGTTGCACCTGAGCAACGATGTATAGAGAGCCCCTTATGATGTTCTCCTTTCCAGCAACTACGAAGGCAAGGGTAACTACTGGGTTGATATGGCCTCCAGAGATTGCACCGGTGCTTGCCACGAGAAAGGTTATAGCCAAACCATGACCCAGCGCGATCACAGTGAGCCTTGCAGATGACAGCTCCGTCTCAAGGACCCCTGAGAATACACGCCGGCTTGGATGACTTGAAGTGTGTGGTACAGCTTAGACGAGCGTAGAAGAACATTCACCTGATGCTACGACAGAGCCACAACCCAAATAAACGAAAAGAAGGGTGGCGAGAAACTCAACGCCGATGGAACGCCATTGTTCTTTGGACTTTAAGGACTTGTACTCGCCAAGCTCAACCTGTAAGCCGCCTTTAGGTTAAAATCTGGGACTGAAAGTGGTTTCCAATGCTCCACAGTTAAAAATCCTCAGCCGCAAACCTTCATGAAATTAAGCATTGTGACCAGTCGAACAGCGCCTTCGACCATTGTGTGTAATCCACCGTTCTCGTCATGGCCAGGGTCGTGCTGGAGAATGGGCTTTCGGCCAAGTTCCTCATGGTTATCGCGTTCGCCGGCCATCTCCATGTCAGACTGTAATAAGGTTGCATAGAATTGAATTGCTGTCAGGGAAATCTAGACATCGATTGAGCCCCAAACGTATAACTCACCATCATGTTCCAGCAGATCACCTTCCAGACAACAGCACTAACAGATTCACGAAATGGAGCTGGGATTCACAATCTGGTGGAGTTTGTTGGTCTTTTGGGGACGGGAATTCCACTGATCCGTTTATTGCTTGAATCGCTTTACAAATCTATTCCACCCAACCTTCAGTTTTCGCCAACGTCGTTCAGCTCGCAATGTTCTTGCTTCGCTTCGTGTGGCGAAGACGTTTCGGTGGTGAACCAAGTGGGCGAAAAGCCGAAGACACCTCGTCAAGCCACGAGAAAGTGCTGTTGAGAAATTGAAGTTCCTGCCACGTGCTAAATTCTCAATCGAGGACGATCGATTCCGCGTCGCAAAGGAATGTCGTCCGTCGCATTTCGCCATCCTCTGCATTCCCAAGAGGTCATAGGCAACACATTTCAGCTGACAAGCCTTTCTGTTGAACGTTCACACCACAGCCATGGCTCCTTCACCCTGGTCGCATATAAGCTCATTAGCTCGGCCAATGCATCCCAGACGGACTAAGCGCCGTTTCATTGCGCGATCTTATCAAACCCTCTTCTTACCTTATTCTCATGGGTCACACTGTAACTCTCTCGCAATCAAGTTCAAGTCCGCAGGTCTTGACCGACTCTGCCTGCTTCACGCTGACCGACGAACCAGCACTTCGTCCCGTCCACTCAGTTCCTCCTGACGAGGAAAAGAAACCTGATCATGAGTTTGACAGTCTTCTCTATTCGCCGCTTGACACTCGTTGCAATGACGCTAAAAGTGCTGCTTCGCTTTCGAAAAGGCGTCCAGGACTGCAAGCAACAAATTCCTTGGATCAAGACAGCCTGTGCATAGTGTCTGAGGACCTCACCGCGGATCACGAGGGTTTGAATTCGATTCCTTATTCCGAGGTGCGAATCTCGAAAACAATAGTGGAATCGCCAGATCCGTCAACCCAGTATGAAGAGGGCGAGTGTCCGTCGTCCGATCAAGGTGGCGACCCTCACTGCGACACTCAAGACGGCGGGTGCTTCTTGAGCGACCGTGCAAATGGCGAGTTACGGCTGCTGCGAAAAGACGAGCGGTGGGACGATGGGTCCTTGACGAGCGCGCCACACGCTGCAGAGGAGAAGAAGAGGCGTCGCAGGAAGAAAGGCCGGAAGTCGCGGACGCTGCTTCTAGTGTCCAACTCAAGGATCCGGTCTCCGGGGCAAAGCCACTCGAATCATGGACACGAGGCAAGCATGGGAGGATCAGCTTGGGAACCACAGCATGGGCGAGGTGTACTACAGGGAGCTCATGGGCCTCGGTTCTTCGCTAGAGACGGCAGCCAGCACCATACTCAACATCAGCAGCAGCAACAGCAGCGGCAGCCAGCAGTGTACACGCCGAAGCACTCCCCCACTCGTGCGTACTCTCACAGGCTTCCAACCAGCATGGATGCTGCTGCCTGGGCGCTCTGCCATCACCCCTCTTCACCGCTCCGCAGCGCTCCCATAGGGGCTGTGGCTGCGGCTGTGGCTCAGGCTGCGAGTGCTGCGAGTGCTGTGAACGCTGCCAGTGCAGCAGGGATGCCAGGAGGAGGCCACGGCTTCTGGCCCATGAGACGTGACATGGTGGGCCCGTGGCACATGGGGCCTATGGGGTCCATGGGATCTATGAGGTCTATTCCCACTATGCCCATGCCCATGTCGCTTCAGCTTCCGATGGCTGCACTGCCACCCATGACCTCCACACCGCCTGCTGGTTGCACCATGCAAGCATCGCCTGTGCCTGCACCGTTCCCAGCTGTTTTCCAGGCGAATCCAGTGGCGGCTCATTCCTGGCCCACGAGCAGATGGCCTGCAGGCAACGGAACGAGGGGTAACATGGGAGTTAACGGCAGTGGGGACGCGGGTGTACCAGACCGCATGAATGGTGATGCCGGTGGGGACGCAGTAGAGGAATGCTTGCAGGCCATGCAGGCCATGTCCATCGACCCATCCGATTCCTCTACTCACGTTTCTCAGCCATCCAAGTGGAGCAGCTTGGCGGAGGGTGCACCAGGCAGAGCTGATTGCCAGTCAATGGGTGACTGCAGCAAGTTCCCAGGGAGTGGCAGCATGCCATCTTCCTTGCACCTGCACCGCCCCTCCTCTGACTATAGCTCCACGTCAGCCACTCCCTCGGTGCCCCACCAGCAAACAGTACGACATGTACCAACCAATCAGCAACAGCCATCATATTCTATAGACGCATACCCGCGCCTATCGCCTCCGTTCTTCTGGCATGAGGCTGTGTGGATGCCTGGTTTCGCTCTCTCCCATGGCTTCTTCCCTTCCTCCTCCACCAACACCAGAAGCAGTAGCGCAGCCAGCAGCAAGTGCGCCAGTAGCACGCCTTTCAATGGTGTGGCACACCCATTGGGTCCATTCCCTGGATCGCTTCCTGTCCCAGGCAATGGGGTTTTCAACTGGTCTATGTTACAGCAGCAGCACATGTACATGCAGCACCAGCAGCAACAGCTGCAGCAGCAGCAGAAACAGCAGCAGCTGCAGCAACAACAGCAGCAGCAGGAGCAACAGGAGCAGCAGCTTCTCGTGAAACCCGTTCCACAGCGTGCAGAGCCCATAACCAAGGAGGGCAGCGCTGACAGAGGATGCCAGCAAGGTGTGCCAGGCACTGAAACCCCACGGCAGGAACACGACATGAAGACTGGGGATGTGAGAGAGAATGAGGAGGAGAGTGAAGGAAAAGCAAGTGATTATGAAGAACCGTGTGGTACAACGGCAGGGAGTGAATGCAACAAGGCCGAGAAAACAGACGACAATGTAATTTCTCCAGACAGCCCGAAGGCGCATGACTGCTCCTCTTCTGCACATCCCTCGCAGTCCTCACGGCCCGCACAGCCTTTACCTCGGCAGTCTCCTCTTCAGAGCAGAACCCCGTCCCGCCTCAAGCCATGTGACTCTGTGCACGTTCATCTCTCTCTCTCCCTCCAAATCCCCTCCCCACGCGCCTTCTCTCGCCTCTTCAGGAAGCCTCCACGTGCCCGCAGATCCCCAGGCCTCAGAGTGCTGTCACCGGGCCTCAGTCCCACGCAAAAGCAGCTGCTTGCAGGGGAAGCTGCGCACGGCATGGGGCTCAGAAGCCCTTCTTCCCCCCGTTGCGCCGCCACTTCTCCACGTCTGCGCTCCTGCCGCACTTCCTTCCCCCCCTGTGTCCCCCGCTGCAGCCCCACCTTTTCTTTTCTTCCGGATTCGCTTTCCCCGCTCCACTCCCCTCTGGTCCTCTCACCCACTGTTGCCCTGCATGTCTCGCATCCCTCATCCCCAGTTGGCCCCTGTTCCCCCCGCTGCTGTTTGCAAGGCACCAGCCCAGCAAGGAAGAGGGAGAGTGTGAAGTGCAACATGGGCAATGATAGGGGTAGGGGTGGTGGAGAAGAGGATAGGCTAAAAGAGGCAGGCGGGTTGGAGAAGGAAGGAAATGCTCGCACTGGAGTGGGTGCAAATGGTGGGAGGGGGAAAGCTCTGAAACGGAGTCCACTTGGGATGTGAGCCTGGCGAAACCCAATAGCAATGCACACTCTAGCTGGGGTATCCATTTAGTTTGATTGAGTTTTCTGCACATGCTTGGTAAATGTATATTGTAAAAGGGCCTGTTGATCAGAAGCACTCCAGATACAAATGTTTTTTGTACAAGTTTCGGTATTGTTCCAGTAGCAGGAATTTACTGACCAAAGTTAAATCTGCTTTGAAGCGGCTATTACTGGATATACGCGTTCTGGCGGGAATGGACTGCTGATTTTCTGTTCTCCCTGGGCAGTTATCCAATCGCTGACAAGCCACTCTCTGCGGTGCAGGTTTCCCTGCACCAGCGTGAGCAGTGTTCCACCATTTCTTCCAGGTGCTTCGCTGCGCGCTCACTTGCTCGCTCACTCACCTCGCCTGCCTGCCTGACCAAACCCTTGTGTTAAAACGGTGAGATGCAATCTCACCTGATCAGTATGCCGTCAGGACCAGCAACCATTTCATCTGGTGGACGTCACATAGGTTTCTTCGCGTGTGACGTGGTAGGAAAGGAGATGGTCAGTGCGAGTGGTCGGGTTATTAGCTGGCAATAACAACGGGACACTTTCGATCGCCCGTCGCGGCGAGTCATGGCGCGGGATGAAGCGATCGTGCCACAGCAAGGGTCCGGATTTCCGCTTCCGGATTACGTACCCATCCGACGAAGTAAGCCTCTAGTTCCCGGTAGGTGCGTTCGATCCACAATGCAGGCCATGCTCCTGCAGTCGCTGAAATTGTCTAGGTTCGTTGAATCCGTTCAATGCAGTCCAGTGAGCAGTCGAGGAGGGTGTACCTTCGCGACATTCCGTGGTTGTTCTCCTTGCCGATTCGCGAGTTCAAAATAGAAGGCGTCGGGCACTGGAACACCTATGGGTTCATGAGAGAGGCATGGGTGGCGTGGCTGCGTCCTGTGGGCACGCGAGTCTGGCTCGGCTGGCCACTCATACCTTTTGTTGTCTGGAAACCTCCTGCTGTGCCGGACCATGCCTCCATTCTTCCCCCGCCATGTCTCGCATTTTGATTGAATGGGATAGGGCGATTGAGTGAAAGTCACTTATAGTCTGGGGATATGTGTGGTGGCAAGCTTTGGAACCCGCGTACTGACCTAATTTCGCCATCGTTTCCATTGCGCTTTGCGCGATGAATTCGTGTAGTGGTTACGAGGTCCTTCGCTTGACTGGAAGCCGCCTTCTGCCTAGATCTACTGTGTGAGCATGAAAGCGTGCATTCGCTTAACGGGATTCGCGACTCGGCTGGGCGGCTAGCAGCAGAGACGCGCTGCGAAGCGCCAGTCTGCCGCAGTGGCAGCGATTCTACAGGCGCCAACCCGTTCCCTCCCTCTCCCTCCGCACATCCCAACCTTAGCCGTGCATTCTACAGGTCTTCCGCAATGTCTTCCCACATTCACGCTCTCTCTCCGCCATCCTCCCCGCCACCCTCCCCGCCACCCTCCTCCCCCAACCCCCTTCCCCCCGGCGCGCAGACGAGTATCTTGTGAAGCGGCCCGCCAAGCCGTCGGCGGCGGAGTCGGTGCAGTGCGAATGCCACAAGGGCGCGGGGGGCCGCGCGCGGGAGAGCATCACGGGCCGGGGGTGGAAGCGACTGGTGGTGGCGGAAGAGGAGGAGGAGGATGAGGAGGAGGGGGAAGAGGAGGGGAGTGATGATGGGAGCTCGGATGATGGTTCGGAGGGGGGAGATGGAGCAGAGGAGAGCGACGAGGAGGATGAGGAGGAGGGGGAGGAAGGAGAGGATTCAGAATCGGAGGAAGAGGAGGAGGAGGAGGCGGCGGAGGATGAGGAGGATGGGGAGTGGCAGGGAGGCAAGAGGAAGGCGAGCGCGGTGAAGATGAGCCAGCAAGGAAGCACGGCCAAGGGGAAGGCGAATGCGCAGGCGACGCACAAGACCAAGACAGGGAGGAGGCGGAGGAGGAGGAATATGTCCATCTGTGGCGAGACATGCCTCTGCCGGTGTGTGATTGCCAGTCCTGCACCTCCTGTCAAGGAGATTGCGGCTCTCCTTCCTCGCACCGTCTGCTCTCTCCACTCCCCACGCTCATCCCTTTACACTCTCACGCTCTCCTCTTTCTCTCTCATTCCCCGTTCATCCTCTACCCTCCCTCCCCCTCCCCTTCTCCCCTCCTCCCCTCTCCTTCCCCCTCCTTCCCCCTCCTTCCCCCTCCTTCCCCCTGCACGTGTCCTCACCCCCCAACCCAACCCAGCATGCTGCACGTGAGTTGCAGCAAGCACTGCGGGTGCGGGTCGTCGTGTCAGAACGCGCCCTTCCACCGCCGCCCCTCGCGCAAAGTCAAGCTCTGCAGGGTGCGTCGCGCTGGCCCCCCGCCTCCCCTCAACCGTCTCAGCACACCGCAACCCTGAACCATCACTGCTCGCTGCTCCGCATAGCCCACTCCGCCGTTGCTTGCCCCATGGCTGTCCATCTCCTCTCTGCTCACACACCCTCCCCTGCCCCCAGCTCACCGTCCCTTCTTCTCCCCCGCATTATTCCCGCTTATCCCCGCGTTTCCCCTCCATATGTCCTGCTTTTCCCGTTTTCGTATCAAGCGAATCCCCCCTTATCCCCATGCGTGTCCTCTGCTCACATCCCGCACCCCCCCCTGTGCGCAGACGGATAAGTGCGGGTGGGGCCTCAAGGCCAACGAGGACCTCCCTGCGGGATGCTACGTGATGGAGTATGTGGGGCAAGGTGAGAGTGCGGGGCAGCCATGTATTGTCACTCACATGGATGCATCCGTCACTGACTGGCAGCTCAACTGTGACCCCCTCACCCCTTCCCCTTGCATTCCTGCACTGCTCACCCCTTTCCCTGGGCCTGTTCGTGCACCCACCCCCATGTATCCATACGCCCTTTCCCCTGTACCCATGCGCCTCCTTCCCCCCCTCCTCCCCCCTGCCCCATGTTGCACGGAGCGGTGAGCAGTGATAGACGACGCCACGTGCGAGCAGCGCCTGTGGGACATGAAGGCCGCCGGGGAGACCGACTTCTACCTCTGCGAGGTTTACCCCTGCCACCCCCTGCCGCCCCTGCCGCCCCTGCCACTCCTGCCGCCCCTATCACTCCTGCCGTCCGTGCCGCCCCTGCCACCCCTGCCACCCATTGCTGTGTGCTTCACTGCGATTCCATGCGCTTCGCCTCATTGCCTCGTCAATCAAGCACGGAGCACTGCTATCCCCATTCTTTCCATGCCATCTCGCCCCTCGAGGTCGTTTCGCTTCATCCTGCTGTTCCTCCCACTGCTCCCTGCGCCCTCTCCCATATGCCGCTTGCCCTGCGCCCTGTTCCCTGTGCCCCGTGCTTATGCTGTGTGCGCCATGGATGGGAGCGCAGGTGAGCAGTGACATGATCATAGACGCGCGCTACAAGGGCAACCTCTCGCGCCTCATCAACCACTCCTGCAACCCCAACTGCGAACTGCAGAAGTGGTGAGCAACCGATGAGCAACTTATGAGTAACTGCTGACCCCAACTGCTGGCCCCAACTGCTGGCCCCAACTGCTGGCCCCAACTGCTGACCCCAACTGCTGACCCCAACTGCTGACCCCAACTGCTGGCCCCAACTGCTGACCCCAACTGCTGACCCCAACTGCTGACCCCAACTGCTGACCCCAACTGCTGGCCCCAACTGCGCTCCGAGTCCAGCTGATCCTTGGTGCTCTTCCATGAACTTTCATCCTGCATGTTTCTTTTGCCCATTTCTCTCTCTCTCTGCTTCTGTTGCTACTGCTGCTGCTGCTGCTATCGTGGTGCACGAGCAGGCAGATGGATGGGGAGGTGCGCATAGGCGTGTGCACGCTGCGCGCAGTCAGCAAGGGGCAGTTCCTCACATACGACTACCAGTGAGCCTCTTTACAATGCCGAATCCCTCAGCTAGTCGTGAGCTTAGGGTGAGGCTTCGCTTCTCATGTGCTGGTGGCATGGCCTTGATGCTCTTTCTCTCTCTTCTCCACTGCGCTGACTGCAGTTTTTCCTTCCTGCTCTCTAAGCAAACATTTTTTCGCATTCGAACACTAGCTGCGCGCACACACTCTCAGAATGCGTCAGACCAGCAACCGCCGCTCTCGTGACTGCAATCACCATCTCCTCTGCCCCCTCTACCCCCCTATGCGCACCCCCGCCTTGCTGTGCCCATGCAGGTTCATAGGGTTCGAGCTACAGCCCAAGGAGTGCCACTGCGGGGAGCCCAACTGCCGCGGCCTCCTCGCCACGCGCACCATCTCCCCCTTCACCCTCCCCCTCCCCTTCCCCGCCCCCGCCCTCCCCGCGCTCCCCATTCCGCCCGCCTTGCCCGCCACCCCCCCGCATGCAGGGGGAACCGTTCCCCCTGGGGGCGCGCAGGGGAAGGGGAAGCGCGGAGGCAGAGGGGGAAAAGGGGACGGAATAAAAGGGGAAGGGAGGGGGAAGACTGTGGTGGATGTGTGTGGGGGAGTCGTAACAGGGGGCAGCGGGGCAGGCAGGGGCGGGGTGAGGGGAAGAGGACGGGGAAGAGGAGGTAGTATGGGGCAGCAAGGAGCAGTGGGCGTGGGGAGAGGAAGCGGGAGGGGAAGAGGGCGAGGCAGGTGGGAGGTGGGAGGAAGGGAGTGTGGAGAGAGGGGTGGTGGCAAGATGGGGAGAGGCAGGGGTGTTTCTGCAGGAGGTGCAGCAGTGCCGATTGCCTTGGGGAGAGGTGCAGAAGGGAGCAGCAGAGGCAGCGGCAGAGGGAGAGGGAGAGGGAGAGGAAAAGTGTGGGTGAAGCAGCCGAAGAGGCAGCATCTGTCAGAGCTGCATGCGGACGGGCACACTCTGGTGAGTGCTGGTGGTGCGCTTGACACTGACCGAGACTTGGCTGATGTTTCTCGTGCCAGGGCTAAGAGTATGGCTCTAGAGGCGGATGAGGAGGAGGAGGAGGACGTGGAGGAGGAAGAGGAGGAGGAGGAGGAGGAGGCAGATGAGGAGGAAGAGGAGGAGGATGAAGAGGAGGAGGAAGATGAGGAGGAAGAGGGAGAGGAAGAGGAAGAGGAAGAGGAGGAAGTGGAGGAAGATGAGGAAGTGGAGGAAGAGGAAGAGGAAGAGGAAGAGGAAGAGGAAGAGGAAGAGGAAGAGGAAGAGGAAGAGGAGGAAGATCTGCAGGAGCGCGGGGAAGAGATATCTGGGGAGGGGCGTCGTGGGAGCAGGCGCCTCATTCCGGGGCCGGGGTGGGCCCCGGTGCCCCTGCTGCGCGGCACCAGGCGCAAGCGCCAGGCACGAGGAGTGCGAGGGGGCATGCGCAGTGATGTGCGCGGTAGCACTGCTGGCGCTGCTGCTGGGGGCAGCACCGCTGCTGGGGCCACCGGTGGGGAGGGCGGCGAGGGGGAGGGAGGTGGCAGGAGGGCGCAGGAGGGATCGTGTGTGACGTCAGTGGCTGTGGCTGGGGGCCGTGCTGCTGTGGCGGTGGGTGGGTGCGCTGGCGGGCAGGGGGACGTGGGCGTGGGCGTGGGCGTGGGCGTGGGCGTGGGCGTGGGCGTGGGCGTGGGCGTGGGCGTGGGTATGGGTATGGGCAGGGAGTGGGTTTCTTGCTGTCCTGCCTCTCACTGCCACCTCTGTGCTGCTGCTGCGGTTGCTGCTGGTGGTGGTGGCTTCAAAGTACCTGCTGGGCCTTGTTTGGCTGCTGCTAGTGCCGGCCCTTATTCTGCTGTTGCAGCTGCTGCTGCCGTGGGAAGAGGAGCAGTGGGATATAGTGGGAGCAGACAGACGGAAGTAGGGGGGCCTCAGCTGGACCAGAGAATCAAGGGGCAGACTGTAGAGAGGGTGTACTCGCGGAAGAGGCTAAAAATGGATGTTACTGTAAAGAAAGAGCCAGTGGGCGAGGAGCCACTGGCAGGTGTGAGGGTGTGTGCTGGTGAGGGCGAGGGGGGTGAAGGAGTGGTGAAGAAAGAGTGGGAAGAGGTGCAGAGAGTGGGGGAGGAGGTGAAGAGAGTGGGGGTGGAGGTGGGGAAAGGGGGCCTCATGCGTTATGGGAGGGAGTATCAGAGACGGAGGAAGCGGATTCAGACGGAGGGGTGTGACGCTGCAGAGGGGCTAGTGGGGGAGAGTTTCTGTGCAGCATGCACATGCAGAGGCGCGGATGGTGCAGGGGGGGTGCACACAGGGGGCGTGCACACAGGGGGCGTGCACACAGGGGGCGTGCACACAGGGGGCGTGCACACAGGGGGGGTGCACCACAGGGGGCGTGCACACAGGGGGCGTGCACACAGGGGGCGTGCACACAGGGGGCGTGCACACAGGGGGCGTGCACACAGGGGGCGTGCACACAGGGGGCGTGCACACAGGGGGCGTGCACACAGGGGCAAGGACTCCTGTGGTGATAGCGCATGAGCACATGTGGCGCATGGCTACGGATCAACGGCCAGGATTGCAGGGTGTGGCGGTGGAGGGAGCGGGACAGACGGTGCCGAGGAGCGGGTGGCAGAAGCAGGCTCTCTCTCTGCTCCCACCTGCCCCTCGTGGCCCCTCGTCGCCCCATGATGCATGCGGTGACATGCATACTCATACCAACACCAAATCCCCCATCCCTGCACAGGCTCATAACCATGCCCATGCCCCTGCCCCTGCCCCTGCCCATGCCCATGTCCACGCGCATGCACATCCGTGTGTGCACATCCCCGCAGCATGTGGTCTCACCTACCCTGCAACATGCATGCATCATCACACCCATGCCCTCGCCCACCCCCACGCTCAAGTGCCGTGTCACATGCATGCTGCTACTGCCATGCCCCCTGACCTCTGCTGTCCCCACCATGTGGGGCCAGTGCACATGTGCGCACATGGCATGGCATGCCCAGTAGCAGCAGCACAGGCGTGTGGCGAGGGAGTGGCGGCAGTGAGGGGTGTGACTCCAGATGATGTGCCTGAAAGGGGGTCCGCCACTGGCAATGGCGCGCTGGCAGTGGGTGCACACGTGGACACTGCTGGTTGCACTGATGTGACACGTCAGCAGGAAAGGGAAGGGGATGGGGGACGCTTGGGGGGAGAGGAGGGGAAGAGAGACGGAAAGGAGGGGATGTTTGAAGGTAGAGAAGGGAAAGGGGAGAGAGGGAGGGGGAGAGGAGTGAGAAGGGGTAGAGGAGGGAGAGGAGGGAAGGGAGGGAGAGGAGGGAGACGAGATGGAAGAGGGAGCAAAGGCAGCGATGGGAGAGAGGATGTGGCTACAGGTGACCTCAAGGGGCTTGGCGTTGCTGCTGCTGCTGCTGCTGCTGCTGCTACTGCTGGTGGTGACGCCAGTGCTGCTGCTGCATGCGGGCAGGGCAGGAGAGGGGGCATGTCTTGCGCTCGAGCAGCAGGGCCGGGCCGAGGGGGAAGTGGCAGCAGCAGACACGCAGCAGCTAGAGTGGTGGCAGCTGCAATGACTCGCGTGGCGAGGGGAGGGCGGGGAGGGCGAGGAGGGCGTGGAGGGCAGGCGGGTGTGGTGTCCGCAGGGAGGGGAGGCGTGGCCATAGGAGGTAGCAGTGACGTGGAGACAGGGGAAGATGGTGCTGGCACCAAGGGGGGAGGGAGGGGAGGGAGAGGAGGGCGGGGGAGGGGGCGGAGGGGCGGGGGCGCGTGGTGGGGCGGGGGTGGGGGGCGAGGGGGCGCGGAGGCGGAGGGGGTGCGGGATGCCATGCTGGAGCGGCTGAGCCAGGCGCTGGTGGGGCAGCGCGTGCAGCTCTGGTGGCCCCTGGAACAGAGGTGGGAGGGGGGGGGGGTGAGGAAGGGCTGACGAGAGATAGAGGAGGGAGAGTGCGGCGGATGGGTGGGCGGTTACCAGAGGTGGTGTGGTGAGGATAAGTCGTGGCCGATTGCTCCGTTGCCTCTTGCCGCCCTGGCTTCTCACCGCCCTGGCTTCTCACCGCCCTGGCTTCTCACCGCCCTTGCCTCATTGCTGCCTTAGCCAAGCGCCCGTTGCCCACGTCCCAAGTTGCGCTCGCTCGTGACGCCCTGCCACCTCTTCCCTGTCTCTCTCCCCGGCACAGGTTCTTCGCAGGCACGGTTATGGGCTTTGACCCCGCCACCATGAAGCACCATGTGAGTTGCCCCTCCACCATGCATGTGAACCCACGTGTATGTCATGTCAGCATGCGGGGTAGCACCATGTGAGCAGCAGCATGTGAGCATGTGAGGGCTAGTGCACGGAGCATCTGATGTGATGTGAATTTCTTCTGATGTGACTTAGAGTGGCGTGAATGAACGGCAGCAGGTGAGTCTGCGCATGTTCCAATACCAGCTTACTCCACAATGACTGCATACAGCCAGCCCTCCTCTCCCCTGTCTTCCACCCGCACTCCTCTCCTCCTCTCCCCCGCCTCCCTTCCCCGCTTCCTCCCCCTGGTCCATACACTCACACTCTAAAGGCCTCACCAACCCTCCCTCCCCTCTTCTCCCCTTCCCCTCCCCCTTATCTCCCTCCCCTCTTCCCCCCTTCCTTCCCTCCCTTCCAACCCCCTCGCTCCCTCCCCTCCTCCCTTTCCTCTGTTCGCAGGTGCGGTACGACGATGGGGACGAGGAGCACGTGGTGCTGGGCCGCGAGCAGTGGCAGCTGGAGGCGCACCCACCGGGCAGAGCAGGCAGAGGCGCGCAGGGGGGAAGCAGCACGGGGAGAGGCACAGGGGAGGGCGCTGGAGAGGGGGCAGGGGGCGATGGGGAGGGGGAAGGAGCAGGGGAGGAGGCAGGAGGGAGAGGCAGGGGGGTGAAGCGGGGTGTGGGGTCGGGCGGAGCTGCTCGTGCTGCTACGGGCAAGGGCAAGAGGCTTGCGGATGGTGCGCCCCTGCTGAGCCTGGCCGATGCGCCGAAGCTGTTTGGTTCGGCGCAGCGGCCAGGTTCGGGGCTGAGCTGGGCGGAGCAGGAGGCGCTGGCACGGCAGCAGGCGCTGGTGGGGCGAAGGGTGGAAGTGTGGTGGCCGCTGGAACAGAGGTGCGTGAAGAGGGGGGCTGGTGGAGGGCAGGTGGGGCAGGGCAGGAGAGGCGCTTGTGTGGGTGGGGAAGGGCAGCAGTGATGTGGGAGTGGGGCAAGGGAGGGGTGGTGTGAGGATGCGGAGGAGTGACGTGGGGATGGGGCAGGGTGCAAGTGGGGGAAAGATTGGGGCATGGGAGCACTGTGGGAAGTGGTGCGGACGGGAAGGGAGTAGTTGACACTGTTGCTTGTCTGGAACCACGCAGGTGGCTCTTCAACCATGCATGATGTCACCCACCCCCTCTCTTCCCATGCTCTCCTCTCATTTTACCCTTGTCTTTGATTGTCTCGTGGGGCACCTCGCCACCGGCATCACTGCTTCCCTTGACCCGCCCAAACCCCCTGCCATTCCACCTGTTGTGGTCTTGTGCCACTGTTCGCTTCCTCTCCTGATAATGCTCCGTCCCTCGTTGCCTGCCCTCCCTAGCAGGTTCTTCAAGGGGGTCATTGGCGGCTACGATGCTTCCACTCTCAAGCACAGGGTGCGTGCCACCTGCCATGTGCCACCCACCTGCCATGTGCCACCCACGTGCCATGTGCCACCCACCTGCCATGTGCCACCCACGTGCCATGTGCCACCCACGTGCCATGTGCCACCCACGTGCCATGTGCCACCCACGTGCCATGTGCCACCCACGTGCCATGTGCCACCCACGTGCCATGTGCCACCCACGTGCCATGTGCCAGTGTTCTCGCAGTGGTCCCAACACGCCCAACAGGCCTGTTCCTACTCCACTTGGTCTTGCCTCCATCTGCTGTTCCCTGTTCGTTTTGCAAGCCACCACTCAGGACCACCCTCGTTGATGCATGCACCACACGCCCTCATCTTCACAAAATCCACTTGCTTTCTTTCTCTCTGTTGCCCTCTGCATTTTTTAACGCCAGGCCAGCACTCGAATATCTCTTCCTCTTCTTCCCTCCATCTACCTCCCTCTCCCTCTCTCCCCCTCCCTTTCTCTCCCTCCCTTTCCCACTCCCTCCCTGATTCTCTCCATCTCCTCTGCCAGGTGGCATATGATGATGGTGACGTGGAGCACGTATCTTTGCGTGCGGAGCGGTGGCGCTTTGAGAGACAAACGGTGCCACCCACTGCCTGCTACTCGTTGCCCTTCTCCTGGCGATCCGAGGTAAAGCATGGGTGATGTGCAGTGGGAGAGGTGTGTGGTGTCTGTGTGGTGTGTGGGTGGTAAGTTTGATGAGTGGTGTGGTGGCTGTGATGTATGTCAGGTTTGTTTCTAATCTCTCGCTCTTCCCTCCCCGTCGCCACCACATTTCCTCTCCCTACCCCCAATGTCATCACTCGGCATGCTGCCTGCATCCCGTGCTCCCCTCTATCGCTTGCCCCCCTTTTTCAGCCCGCTCACCGTGCATGGTGGTACAGCACGACTCTAACACACTAGGACTCACGCTCCCTGCTTGCACTCACGCGCCCCCTCTCCCTTCCGCTCTCCCCCCCCCCACCCTGTTCCCCCTCCCCCCTTCCCCCTCCTCCGTTCCCCATCGCCTGTCTCCCCTCCGGCTGTCCCTTCCCCCCCCCAGCCACTGACCCACCGTGCGGTGCGCGACCTGCAGGGCGAGCAGATCAGGATTTGGGCACCGCAACTCCACAGGTGGGCACAGGGAGGCGCAGGGGGGATCAGGGGAGCGGCGGGTTAGGGGAGGGAAGGTAGCTTGTGGTAGGCTCTTGTGGGGGGGGAATGGAAAGGGGGAAGTGCTGCCTGTGTGGGTGTGCCGCATGGGGCACTTGGAGGGGTGGCTGGTGGGGAGAGGGCAAGGGGGAGTGGGTGTGGCGTGGAGAGGATGGGTGAGAGGTTGTTGAGAGTTGGGGTTGGGAAGGAGTGGGGAGGTGAGAGAGAGTGATCGGCAGGCAAAGGAGGGAAGCGTGGGTGAGATGGGTGGTGGGTCACACCACATACAACCATCCATGGTCACACCACATACAACCATCCATGGTCACACCACATACAACCATCCATGGTCACACCACATACAACCATCCATGGTCACACAGGTTTCACCTCAGCACCTCTTCTCTGCCCGTCTCTTTCCCCCTCCTTCCCATTCCCCCTCTCCCCACCTCTATCATGTGTGCGCTATCACCTGCCCTGCCTCCCACCCCACCCTCCCCTCCCCCCGGTCCTCCCCCTGGTGTGCGGGGGCAGGTTCCGCAACGGCACAGTGGTATCAGTGGCACACAGCAAGTTTACCATCGAGGTGCCCTCCTGCCCCATGCGCCTGCCCCATGCGCCTGCCCCATGCATCCTGCTATCCATGCCACCCCATCCATGCCACGCCATCCGCCCCCCCTTCCCGTGCCATGCCATCCCCTTCCTGTGCCATGCCATCCCCTCCATTCTTTCCGAATCGTTTTAGTCCAAGGCTCCTCTCTGTGTGCCACTCTGCTGTCATGCCGTCGCCATGCTTTTCACACACCACTGCCATGCTCCTCCTTGTCACTGATGTTTCTCCCGTATCCCCCTCATTCCCCCTCCCCTGTGTGTATCTGCCCCCCCTGGCTGCGCCCCTACCCCCACCTGTTTCACTTGTGGTGCATGGCACATACACACCTCTCCCCCAACCACACTTATTTCTCCCCGACACACATTTCCCCTGCCACACGTCTCCCCCCCCACACACGTCTCTTCCCCTGGAATGGAGCTGGTCAGTTTCTGTACGACGATGGGGAGATCGCAGTGCTGGACCTCTCACAGTGCCGCTGGGAGCTTGTAGACTCCGACTGACACACTGCATCTACCACACACAGCCGTTAGATTGTATGCAAGCGAGAACGCTTACCCGCAGATATGTGCACTCCCATGCACATGCATGGTGGTGGCCCCTTGAAATCATTATTAATTTTTGTGTTCTCCCTAAAATGAGAGCTTATTGTATGGCCTGTATTGCTGCTATGTGTAAGGAATTTTCTCGACATTCCTTAGCGCGCCCTGCAACATCGCGTACAGCAGCAGCCGTTGTTCGCCCGTCACTGCTAACGGGGCTTCGCCAACTTCGCGCGCGCTGTTTCACCAAACCTCGCACTGCTGGCCCGGCCGTGTCGGTCTACGCTTCGGGAATAGCCGGAACCTCACTGCCAGCATAGCACTAGCCAGCTCGCACGCACCGCGTTACCGTTTGCATGTTTTGCGTATAAATGTTCGCTCATGCCTTCGCTCACATTTTGTACTCGGTTGACACCTTAGTGCAATCCTCGCTACCTCGATTCATTGCACCCGTAACACTTGGTATCAGAGCCTCTTTCTTTTCGGACCGCGCATCTCCGCACCCCAGGAGATCAACTTTTGTTTTTTCACTCGAACGGACTCACGCACCTTAGCCCCTAGGAGCCGCTGTCCTCGCGTTCTCTCGTAAACGCGTGCAGCCACGACTGCGCCTAGACTAAGCCGAGCCGACGCCCTTCGTCATGGCCGAGCACATCAACGTCACAACTCTCACGCAGGAGCACTTGAATGAACTGCTGCGACAAATCCGCGAAAGCTCTGAAGAAATCGCGGCGCTGACGGCAGAACGCACGTCCCTGCAAAATGACATCGCAAGAGCACAGCAAGCACAATCTCAAGCACCTGGCACTCCGATACAACCCGCACCACAGACATCGCAACATGGAAGTGTGGGGCAACCCGCGAGCGCGGCCAGTGATGGCGTCGTCCACCACGACGGAGACGACGACCGCGGCACGACACACTCCGAAGGGACGAATGCGGCCAAAAGTCAGCCTCGAGTCATGATTTCCATGCCGGCCGGCGAATCAACATTGCCGTCGCCGATGCCGCTGAAGCCGCAACGTCCACCATGCTTCGACCCGAGTCAACGGGGTGGTCCTACCGTTCAGCCGTGGTTGTTCACGATTAACGTCTTCTTCGATGCCAACTACGTCTCGGAGGATACGGCGAAAATCCGTTACGCCGTGTCGTTGCTGCGAGGACCCGCCATGGATTGGTGGCGTGTCGTCGCCACGAAGCCGGTGGACTTCGCGACTCTACCGACACGGGAAGGACAAACCGGACCCTGGGCGCCGTCGTATTTCGTGGAGGTGCCCCAATATCGCACGTGGGACGCGTGGTACGCAGGTCTGCGCGCTCGGTTTGAGCCAATTGCGGCTTCGATCGCGGCGCGACAGAAGCTCCGCACTTGGTGCCAACTCGGTTCTGTCCAGGACTACACGAGCGGGTTTCTGGCACTATGCGAGCAAGTGGGTTACATGCACGAGAGCGAGCGCATCGACCGCTACATCGGCGGCCTGAAGCACGACATCGCTCAGGAAATCCAGCTTCGCGGCGTCACCGACTTTCAAGAAATTCTTGCTATGGCGGAGAAACTTGACTTCTTCCACCGACCGAGACCGGGGTCCTACGGAAGCAGCAACTGGGGACATCGGTCTCGTGGGACGAACGAGGGCGCTACGATACGTGCCGTCGCCGCGAATGCCACTGCCGCACCGTTCAAAGGGCACTGCTTCGCGTGCAATCGGCCAGGACACCGTAACAGCGAATGCCCGGAAAATGTTAAGGGAAAGGGGGAAGCTGAGCAGCAGAAACAGACCAAGCATCAGGGAAACGCTAGGAGTCAGTAGCAGACGGGCCCTCTACTGACAGGTCACGCCGCTCGCCCGACCCAACCGACCCTCACCGAGTGATTGTGCCGGTTCACGCAATCGACCGCACCCGGCCGAATAAGGAGGGTACTACGGTAGACAGCCCCATACTGCTTAGTGGGAAAATCGGGACCAACTTAGTTAAAATCTTCGTAGACGGGGGAGCCAGCCACAGCCTTATCAACACTGCCATAGCACGGAAACTGAGACTGCCACTGGACAGATGCTTACCTGAGATCGACGCAAGACTGGTCGACAGCACGCCACTGGCGATACGGGAACGTGTGGACCGGGTTCGGATTTGATGTGGGGGTAAATTCACGTTTAGCCAGGAAATGCTCGCAACAACCCTCGACGGAACCGACATTTTACTCGGGCGTGATTGGCTGCGACGACACAATCCGCGAATCGACTAGACGACGGGTGACTGCACCGTGCGAGTGAACGGTAACAACATCGCTTTACCTCGCTGGGGCTCGCCTGAGTCTTCGTCGGTGCGTGTCAACGCGATCACGATGAAACGCGCCGTAGCGGCAGGAGCTGACGTGTACGCGGTTGACATTCGGGAAGCCGAGGCAGCAGACAAAGGGGGGGATTACAGAAACTGCTAGCCGATGTACCGGATGATCTGGCAGCACTACTGAAGCAGTACAGTGATATTTTCCCGGACGATCTGCCAACGGGACTGCCACCTCAGCGACCGCATGACCACAGGATAGAACTAGAACCGGGGGCACAGCCGACAGTACAGCGACAATTCCGACTGACCCAACCTGAACTGAGAAAGCGGCTGGATTACCTGCTCGAAAAGGAGTTCATTCGCCCGAGTTCGTCACCCTTCGCAGCACCGATACTGTTCACGCCGAAGAAGGACGAGGGTTTTCGCATATGCATAGACTACAGGGCACCGAACAGGGTTACCATTAAATCCCGTTACCCCATTCCGCGAGCCGACGAACTGATCGACCAACTGCGCACAGCCCGGGTTTCCTCGAAAATCGACCTTAGGGGAGGTTACCACCAGATTCGCGTCAACCCACCCGACTGCCCCAAGACTGCCTTCCGAACACGCTACGGATCGTTCGAGTACACCGTCATGCCCTTCGGACTGACCAACGCCCCCGCCACTTTTCAAATGACCATCAACGAAGCCTTCCGCCCGCTTTTAGATAAGTGCGTCATCGTGTACCTTGATGACATACTGATTTACAGCCCCGACAGAGCACACAACTTACAGGACATCGAAGCAGTTTTTAAGATACTGAGTGAGAACCGCCTACTGACCAAAGCGTCTAAGTGTGAGTTTTTACAAGACCGACTGGAGTTTTTGGGACACATTATTTCAGCTGCAGGAGTGGAAATAGACCCGAAGAAGATCGCGACGATTCAAGCATGGCACGCGCTGACCAACTTGACTGAGTTGCAGAGTTTTCTGGGGTTCGTCAACTACGTGCGACGGTTCGTCCCCGACATGGCGCAGTTGACCGCCCCGTTGACCGACCTGCTGAGGAAGGGGGTTGAGTACACGTGGGGGGAGAAAGAGCAAGCTACCATCTCGGCCCTCAAAAATATTTTGTGCTCGCCGCCCGTGCTTCACATTGCAGATCCGCACCGTCCGTTCGAACTCGTCACCGACGCTAGTGACATCGCTGTGGGAGCAGTACTGTTGCAGGACTTCGGGAACGGCCTCCAGCCAATCTCATACGAGTCCCGCAAGCTTCACCCGCCCGAACGCAACTACACGATACACGACCGCGAGATGCTGGCGATCGTGCACACGTTCAAGGTGTGGCGATGTTACCTCACGGGAGCAGACGTGACAATACGGACAGACCACCGATCACTACAGTATCTTCGCGTCCAACCGAATCTCAACCCGCGACAGATCCGCTGGTTGGACTATCTGGAGTCCAACTTCCACTACATGGTCACGTACAAAAAAGGCGCATCCAACATCGCCGACGCATTCACACGCCCCACCACCCAACTCCACGCCATCCTACTCGCCCAAACCAACCCATTGCTAACAGGCCTATTCACCCACGGATACAGTACCGACCCATTTTTGGCGACCGGAAATTCACAGCAGCTAGCAGAAGCTAACGGAGTCTATTACGTAAAGGTAGGCACCAACCACATCTAGGTACCCGCGTACTCAACACTGAGGGAACTGTTACTGCAGGAGGCACACGACGGGATTACCTCGGGACATTTCGGGGTAGAGAAAACGCGACAGCAAATGCAGCGGTATTACTATTGGCCGGAGCTGTTGACCGACGTACAGCACCACGTGGGCTCGTGTCCTACGTGTCAGGTGATGACGAGCTCGCGAAAAAGAAAGGCGAGTCAGTTGCAGCCGATTCCACCGCCTGAGCGCGCCTGGCGGCAGGTTACCATGGATTTCGTCACAGGGTTACCTTCGAAACCTGGGGGTAAAGACGCAGTTATGGTCGTCGTTGACAGGTTGACGAAGATGGCACACTTCGCTGCGTGCAAGAAATCGATCTCAGCCGAAGAAACCGCTCGTCTGTTCATCGCAGCCGTCGTTCGACTGCACGGGATACCAGCCGCAATAATCAGCGACTGCGACACGAAGTTCACCAACAACTTCTGGAAAAACCTTTGGGAGCAGTTCGGGACCAGGCTACAGTTCAGCTCGTTGTACCACCCCGAGACCGACGGACAAACGGAGCGGACGAATCAGATGATGGAGCAGTTGATTCGTGCCACGTGCGACGACCCGACAACTTGGGGCAGCAGCTGCCGCTGATTGAGTTCGCGTACAACAACGCCACGTCAGCGACGACGCAGCAGTCCCCGTTCTACCTGAACTACGGACAAAACCCTACAGTGCCCATGACGCCGAGCCCGGACAACCCAACGCCGCGTGCACAGCAATTCGCCGAAATTCTGCAAGCTGCCCGCACCAGAGCCGCCAAAGCAATTAAAAAAACAAACGCCATCGCTAAACGCAACGCTGACCCCCACCGCCGCCCAGTCACGTACGAGTCAGGCGATTACGTACTGCTCGACACACAGAACTTAAGACTGCCCGTCGTACCGAAATTACGACCGCGTTACTGTGGACCATTTCAAATCAACCACATGATTACCCCTGTGGCAGCACATTTACTGTTGCCGACAGAGTGGTACATCAGCCCTTCATTCCACGTCAGCCTGCTTCGCCCCTACATCCCAACCACAAGCCAACTGCCTCGTCACCGCCCGCCATCCATGACTCGCCCTGCATCGGAGCCGATCATCGAGCCCGAGAAAATCCTGAGCCATCGGATTCGACACCCCATGGGAATCAGGAGGATTGAATTCCTCGTTCACTGAAAGGATCGCATGCCAACTGAGGATAACTGGGTGCCCCTGGCCAACATCGAAAACCACCCTACTCTGCAAGTGTACCGGAGGAGCCGGGGTTTCCGCGATATACACGCACTCGCGTAGCGGAGGGGGTTTCTTGAGGGGGGGGGGGGGGGGGGGGGGGGGGGGGGGGTAGTGTAAGGAATTTTATCGACATTCCTTAGCGCGCCCTGCAACATCGCGTACAGCAGCAGCCGTTGTCCGCCCGTTGCTGCTAACGGGGCTTCGCCGACTTCGCGCGCACTGTTTCACCAAACCTCGCACTGCTGGCCCGGCCGTGTCGGTCTACGCTTCGGGACTAGCCGGAACCTCACTGCCAACATAGCACTAGCCAGCTCGCACGCACCGCGTTCCCGTTTGCATGTTTCGCGTATAAATGTTCGCTCATGCCTTCGCTCACATTTTGTACTCGGTTGACACCTTAGTGCAATCCTCGCTACCTCGATTCATTGCACCCGTAACACTATGCTTGTAGTCGGATTTATTTTTGAACTGAAGCTGTGATGGAAGAATGAAAGTCAAGTAATGAACCATTGTGTAACATCGGGATATTCTGTACACCCTGATGCTCACTCAACCATCCACTCTGAACATGGAACTGCCATTCATTACTCCCAATGGTCGACATTCACAGCCAACGGCCCGCTCGTTACTGGCCCACGACAAAACCAGGATATTCTTGACCTCGAATAAGTTATTCGAGTTTCCCAGACAAAACACGCTGGGCTACCCACAATTATGGCCACTGTTCTACATTCAGTCCCATTTCGCCCCTAGCGGGCACGCGCTCGAGGGAGGAGAACAGAGAAAGATGGGGAACGGGACTGAAATAGGCATCAGGTGTATATGCTTTCGCGCTCTCCACGTGAGTTTTCATGTGCTTTCCGATCAAAATCTCAGCTTCTGTGCATTCGAGTGTACAGTGGCGACAGGCCCACTCGCCAACCTTGCCAATGGGGTGACGAAATCAGCAGCAGTGACTGTGTACGTGCTTGCACAGAACCGACCAGAAGCCCCTTTGGCTCAGTTTGTTCCATACCGAAGGTCGTGTCGTGTCGTGAATCTTGCATCATGTACAGTATGGTCGTACAGTTTAGGTAGTAGGTAGGTACAAGACGAAGATTGAACAGTACATGGGTTTGATGTTTGAACAAGCCCAGACAACATCACGACTTCTCGAGGAAATAGAAAACAAATTTCTGTACACACCTTTAAATATAGTTAGCGACAGCTCAACTGTGAATTAACGTAAAGAAGTCGTCACTATTACTATTTTCTCGCTGCGTTCTTCCTTCATTTTTGTTAGGGAATGGGGAAATGCCTTCGCCACATGCAAAAGGTCACTGCTGCCTGCTGCTTACATGGAATGGCACAACTGTAGTGAAACGATTTATGGAATGGATGTCAGGTCACGCATTCTATGTTTTGTTGAAAGTGCACTGTGCTTAGAACATGTACTCTGAAACAGTAATGTTTGTGTCGTTTCTACACTCTCCGCGTGAGTGAAGTGAAACGCGGGTCGCTGACAGCACACGGTTGCTTTTGGCTTCATTCGTCTCTATGGAATTGAATCCGCGCTCAAGGTGTACCGCGTACGGCATCGATGAAGTCCGCGTTGATTGTGCGCTGGCATCGTGTTTTGTGAACTGGAAAGCGGCGACGTTGTCTGGGCTCAGACTGTCGGAGGTTGACGAGATACAGTACGGTGCGTAAGTCCACTCCGAGTCGCAACCATGGGTAGAGTGCAGTGTCGTGTCAGCCAGCAACATGCTATTGTGGGCTGGAAACTGGTTTGGGCGTGCCTCACTTCACAATGTGTTTCTTTCTAGTATCGTCCACAAAAATGATGGTTGCCCCGCAATCAGTTGTAGAAAATGGTGGAAGATAACTGAGCCGTTTGGTCGCAAGATGGAAATTTATCTTATAGCGTTGGCTCTAACAGAACTTCGCATTCCAGAAAAAAAAAAAAAATTGTCGGGTAGCCTGAAAATTGTCAGCGAACGTTCCAACGCGTAGTTCTGCCACACAGTCCCGTTTGCACATCCATTTTGCCAGCCAGCAAGCAACATCACGCGGACCGTTCTATCTCTACCACCGCCCTCGACATGTGGCCTTACAAAAACAGCGTTTTGTTATTTCGCCTCGACACCAATGTATTCGCTCTAAGCTCAAGATTCTGCACGTGATTCGTAGGCGACACCACCATGCCTCCGTGTGCTGAGTTAGAAACTCTTACACGCGACTCCAAGCCCCGCTTCTTCCTTGGAGGAGGCATTTCAAGTACAATATCCCTACGCTGCGCCGGCCACGCCGGCTCCAGATTCGGTGGCAAAATCACCATGGAAGAAGATCGAAGAAAGACTAACGGCTCTGGAGGGCTCCAAGCCGAGTCGACCAAAAAGGAGGGTCGCGCGATCAAGCGAGAACGAAGCGAAGACTCTCTGGCGGCAGAAGAGGCGCCTCCAGTAATAGTTACTTCATTGACTCCACCCACAGCGGCAGGCGACGCAATCAACGAGTCGTCCGATGTGAAGTCGCCGAAAGCGGCGGCGGGAAAGACGGCGGGATCGTCGAGCGCGGCGCGGCCGTGCAAGCGGTCGAAGCTGATCCTGTTTGAGCACCGGCTGCCGCGCGACGGGCACGTGTGGCTCAAGTACGGCCAGAAGGAACTATCAGGCGGCACGCACACCAGGTAAGGCCCTGCACGAATTTCTCCTTCATCTGGAAGGGAACTGAGAAAGGTTGTGACCGTGTTCAAAGCCCAAGATTGCTCTGAAAGTGTTCCAGCCGCATGCAGCAACTTGCACGCATGCATGCATGCTTGAAGCATATTTGCAACTTAATTTGCAAGTTCTTTTCAGGGAGCCTCTCAAAATGTCGTCGCGTGTGCCATGCCTGTTCCTAACTTTTCCCTTTCCCTTGCCGCAAGCAGCAAGCATATTCCCAACTTAATCTGCATGTTCTTTTCAGGGAGCCTCCCAAGATATCGTCTCTTGTGCCATGCCTGTTCCTAACTTTTCCCTTTCCCTTTTCCCCCCATCTCCTCCTCCCCCCAGGCACTACTTCCGCTGTGCGCACCGCGTGGGCGACGAGCAGTGCGATGCGAAGCGCGTGGTGGACTTCAACAAGATTTCGCCCGCGAGCGACCTCGCCATCTCGTACAGCGGCCGGCACCTGCACGCGCCGCCCGCCACCATCATGATGGGCATGCACCCCGCCGCGCTCCCCTCGCCGCACCCCGCTGCTGATGCGTCGCCTGTTGGCGGCGGCAGCGGGTGGGCAGGCGCGTCGCTGGGCGGCGAGCAGCGGCGTTCCGCGGAGCGGGACTGTGTAGCGGAGAGTGGCGGATGGGCGGAGGAGGCGGGCGTCCCCCAGGCGATGGGCTCTGCTGCGGAAGTGTCGGGGGGCGTAGCAGCAGCAGGTGCGACTGCTGCCAGTGCTGGGTGGAGGGGTCCTTCGGATCAGGCCACCGCCACTGCTGCTGGGCTAGCGGCTCAGTGGCACGAAAGGCAGCAGGAGAAGATGAGGGGGGCGGCGGCGGGGTCAGCTGCAGCTGCAGCAGGAAGAGGGGGCGGAGGAGGAAGCGGTGACTTTATGGGGCCGCAGCAGGGTGCGGATCGGTTGGGGGCGAGTGGAGCGCAGCAGCCCATGCTCGTGCTTGCTCCCGCCCCCCATCCGCCGTCCGCGTCCGCCTCTGCGTCCCCCCCGCCCCCCAGCAGCAGCGCTGGGTGGCAGCACCCCGCCTCGGATTCCGCCCCCGTCACCCCTCAGGGCCCCGCTGCGTGCGGCTTGCCATGGGCCGCGGACGAGGCGTGCGCGGGACGCGTGGGTGCGGCGGAACGCGCTCCTGCTGTTGTTGAGGCGCGGTGCAGCGAGTGCACGTGCGGCACTGAGCGGGTGAATGCGCAATTGATGCAACAGCAGCAGCCCCCCCACTGGGCGCACGAGCAGCAGTATGAACAGAAACAACAGCACCAGCAGCAGCATCAGCAGCAGCAATGGCAGCAACAGCAGCAGCAACAGCAGCAGCAGCAGCAATGGCAGCAACAGCAGCAGCAGCAGGAGCAGCAGCAGGTGCAGATGGCAGGCGCAGCAGCCGAGTGGTCGCAGGGCCAGCAGCAACAGTACAGCAGCGACCACCTTCAAGTGCACCTGAACCAGCCAACTCAGCCCGCCGCGCTGGGCGCAGAAGTGCACGCAGCCGTGAGCGCTGTAGCGTCAGCCCCGCCTGCAGTGGCCCGTCTGAGGTGCGCGGATGCACGGCTGTCCGCGGACGACCTGCATTCCATGGCCGCGCATGCCGCCCACTGGGACCCCCGTCCGCCCGTGGCACAGCCTGTGCATGACGCAGTACCCCTGGAGTTGCCGCTTTCTGCTCCCGCTGCCCTCACCTCCCCCCTCGCAGGCCCCTCGGACCCTCTCCCCTTCACAACACTCGCCTTCTCTCAACCGACCGTTGCTCCCGTGCACTTCACGCCCTCCTTCCCCCCGCCCCCTCCGCTCCCCCCGCTCCCCCCGCTTCCCCCCCACTCCTCCCTCCCGCCTCTCACGGGCGGAGACGCCCCCACCGACCCAGCCGCCATGCCTGATTGGCTGCGGCGCCTGCAGCGCTGCCGCAGCAGCGTGGCGTGGCAGCTTTCGCAGGGGGAGGGGGAGGGAGAGGGGCAGGGGCTGGCGCAGGGGGAGGGGGAGGGCGGGCCGAGGCGGATCCTGATCTCGGAGAACAGCTTTGGCGCGCTGGTGGTGACCAATGTGCTCACAGGGAGTGCAGGCGCGGGGGTGTGCGCGGGCAGCGGGAAGGAGGGCGCAGGTGAGAGTGGCGGAGCTGTGGTGGGAGGGGTGGCAGGCGGGAATGCAGCTGTGATGGCGGGGGGGGTTGGGGCAGAGATGGGAGGAGGGTGGGCGGGAGAGACAGTGGGGGAGAGTCAGGTGGGGGCAGGGGCGGCGAGGCAGGAGGAGCAGCAGGGGGAGAAGCAGGAGCAGGTGGTGTGGGGGGGGGAGGGTGGCGGGGTGGGGCGGGGGAGGGAGGCGTCGTTTGATGCAGAACAGCTCTTCTCCCTGCTGCACAGCCTGCCCGCTCTCGACTGCCCCATGCCTGAGTGATGCCACCCCATGGCCCAGTGACGCGGTGGAGTGGGAAGGGGGAGGGAGTGGGGCCAGTAAGAGGGAGGGAGGCGTCGTTTGATGCGGAGCAGCTCTTCTCACTGCTGCACAGCCTGCCCGCCCTCGACTGCCCCATGCCTGACACTGAGTGACACCCGCCACCCCACGCCCAGGTTGCGCCCTTGAGGTGTGGGGAATCACTAAGGTGTGGGGAGTGACGCCCCACAGCTTACAGACGCCGCGTGCTTGCCTGCCCTCCCAGAGCGACTGAGTGGTGCTGGCGATGCTGCTGCAGTGACGTGCACGCCGACTGGCAACAAGCCGAAGCACTGCCGGTATACCAAGCTGATGCTCTGTCTCACATGCCAGGCTTTACAAATTCACTGATTCGATGTTCTTGTACCATATTCTTTTTAAATAATGTTGATAATGTCAGCACAGACAAGACGTTGCAGAATGGGTTGACATGTGAAAAGCATGGCGCCTCAGTAAGTGCCGCCACTCACACTGCATCCCACCCATCCCATCCTTCCCACGGCGCCCTGCTGTCAGAATACTGGGCTGAAAGTGCAAACAAACATGTCGGATGGGATGCTTAAACATGCTTATTCTCACCATGCACTGATTGTGGTGAGTCGTGATGCCTGCAAGGGCGAGGCTGCAGTGGCTGTGCTGTAGCATGGTGGTCAGGCAGACCAGCAGCAGCGTGCATCACCCCCATCCCACACATCCAGCTTCGGTTCATGCGCAGTCAAGCGAATCATCTCCTGTCGCTTCCGCCCTTCACTGTCGACCGTCACTGCCGCCCACCATCGCCACCCATCACCGCCACCCACTCTCACCCGTCACTGCCACGCATCCAGCAGCGGCAGCACGAGGTTGGCACGGGGCACCGCGCCCTGCTGGCGGCGATTGCAGAGATCCATGGCACCGGTCCATGGTACCGGTCCATGGTGTGGCGCTGGACGAGCGCCACGCCCACCTCCTTCTGCTTCGCCCTCACTGCCTGCTGCCCATCACTTCCACCTGTCACCGGAACCCTTCACTGTCGCCCATCACTGCCACACATCCAGCAGTGGCAGCATGAGGTTGGTGCGGTATACCTCCTGCTGCTGGCGCCCGTTATACACGTCCACGGTGTGGCGCTGGAACTGCGCCATCCCCACCACCTTCTGCATCTGCCTCACCGCCCGCTGCACCCCCTTGTGCGTGCCCCCCTGCCCCGCTGCTTCCATGCCCTGCCCCCGCTCCCATGCCATGTGCACCGCCTGCCAGGGGGTGGCGGCATGGGGATGAGGGAGGGAGGGGAGTAGGGTGGGAGGGAAGCAAGGTGGGAGTGCGAGGAGGGGGGTGAGAATGGAGGTTGGGTTTGATGAGAGTAGCGGCAGATGGATGGAGGCACAATGCAGGAGGGAGTGAGTGAGGGCACAGGAGCAGCAAGGAGCTCAGCAAAGCAGCAGGACAGCAGCAGCGCATGAGCAGCAGCACTGCAGCTGCACAGGAGCATGTGCATGCACACATGGCCCGTGCATGCACACATGGCCCGTGCATGCACACATGGCCCGTGCATGCACACATGGCCCGTGCATGCACACATGGCCCGTGCATGCACACATGGCCCGTGCATGCACACATGGCCCGTGCATGCACACATGGCCCGTGCATGCACACATGGCCCGTGCATGCACACATGGCCCGTGCATGCACACATGCCCGGGGCACACATGGCCCTGTGGCATGCACACATGGCCCGTGCATGCACACATGGCCCGTGCATGCACACATGGCCCGTGCATGCACACATGGGCCCGTGCCATGCACACATCGGCCTTCCTTGTGCATGCACACATGGCCCGTGCATGCACACATGGCCCGTGCATGCACACTAGTGTGCCCGTTGCATGGCCACACATGGCCCGTGGCATGGCACCACATGGCCCTGTTGCATGCAACACCATGGCCCGTGCATGCACCACATGGCCCGTGCATGCACACATGGCCCGTGCATGCACACATGGCCCGTGCATGCACACATGGCCCGTCGCATGCACACATGGCCCGTGCATGCACACATGGCCCTGTGCATTGCACACATGGCCCGTGCATGCACACATGCTGCCCGTGCATGCACACATGGGCCCGTGCCATGCACACATGGCCCGTGCATGCACACATGGCCCTGTGGCATGCACACATGGCCCGTGCATGCACACATGGCCCGTGCATGCAACACCTGGCCCGTTGCATTGGCCCGTGCATGCACACATGGCCCGTGCATGCACACATGGCCCGTGCATGCACACATGGCCCGTGCATGCACACATGGCCCGTGCATGCACACATGGCCCGTGCATGCACACATGGCCCGTGCATGCACACATGGCCCGTGCATGCACACATGGCCCGTGCATGCACACATGGCCCGTGCATGCACACATGGCCCGTGCATGCACACATGGCCCGTGCATGCACACATGGCCCGTGCATGCACACATGGCCCGTGCATGCACACATGGCCCGTGCATGCACACATGGCCCGTGCATGCACACATGGCCCGTGCATGCACACATGGCCCGTGCATGCACACATGGCCCGTGCATGCACACATGGCCCGTGCATGCACACATGGCCCGTGCATGCACACATGGCCCGTGCATGCACACATGGCCCGTGCATGCACACATGGCCCGTGCATGCACACATGGCCCGTGCATGCACACATGGCCCGTGCATGCACACATGGCCCGTGCATGCACACATGGCCCGTGCATGCACACATGGCCCGTGCATGCACACATGGCCCGTGCATGCACACATGGCCCGTGCATGCACACATGGCCCGTGCATGCACACATGGCCCGTGCATGCACCACATGGCCCGTGCATGCACACATGGGCCCGTGCATGCACACATGGCCCGTGCATGCACACATGGCCCGTGCATGCACACATGGCCCGTGCATGCACACATGGCCCGTGCATGCACACATGCCCGTGCATGCACACATGGCCCGTGCATGCACACATGGCCCGTGCATGCACACATGGCCCGTGCATGCACACATGGCCCAGTGCATGCACACATGGCCCGTGCATGCACACATGGCCCGTGCATGCACACATGGCCCGTGCATGCACACATGGCCCGTGCATGCACACATGGCCCGTGCATGCACACATGGCCCGTGCATGCACACATGGCCCGTGCATGCACACATGGCCCGGTGCAATGGCACACATGGCCCGTGCATGCAACACATGGCCCCGTGCATGCACACATGGCCCGTGCATGCACACATGGCCCGTGCATGCACACATGGCCCGTGCATGCACACATGGCCCGTGCATGCACACATGGCCCGTGCATGCACACATGGCCCGTGCATGCACACATGGCCCGTGCATGCACACATGGCCCGTGCATGCACACATGGCCCGTGCATGCACACATGGCCCGTGCATGCACACATGGCCCGTGCATGCACACATGGCCCGTGCATGCACACATGGCCCGTGCATGCACACATGGCCCGTGCATGCACACATGGCCCGTGCATGCACACATGGCCCGTGCATGCACACATGGCCCGTGCATGCACACATGGCCCGTGCATGCACACATGGCCCGTGCATGCACACATGGCCCGTGCATGCACACATGGCCCGTGCATGCACACATGGCCCGTGCATGCACACATGGCCCGTGCATGCACACATGGCCCGTGCATGCACACATGGCCCGTGCATGCACACATGGCCCGTGCATGCACACATGGCCCGTGCATGCACACATGGCCCGTGCATGCACACATGGCCCGTGCATGCACACATGGCCCGTGCATGCACACATGGCCCGTGCATGCACACATGGCCCGTGCATGCACACATGGCCCGTGCATGCACACATGGCCCGTGCATGCACACATGGCCCGTGCATGCACACATGGCCCGTGCATGCACACATGGCCCGTGCATGCACACATGGCCCGTGCATGCACACATGGCCCGTGCATGCACACATGGCCCGTGCATGCACACATGGCCCGTGCATGCACACATGGCCCGTGCATGCACACATGGCCCGTGCATGCACACATGGCCCGTGCATGCACACATGGCCCGTGCATGCACACATGGCCCGTGCATGCACACATGGCCCGTGCATGCACACATGGCCCGTGCATGCACACATGGCCCGTGCATGCACACATGGCCCGTGCATGCACACATGGCCCGTGCATGCACACATGGCCCGTGCATGCACACATGGCCCGTGCATGCACACATGGCCCGTGCATGCACACATGGCCCGTGCATGCACACATGGCCCGTGCATGCACACATGGCCCGTGCATGCACACATGGCCCGTGCATGCACACATGGCCCGTGCATGCACACATGGCCCGTGCATGCACACATGGCCCGTGCATGCACACATGGCCCGTGCATGCACACATGGCCCGTGCATGCACACATGGCCCGTGCATGCACACATGGCCCGTGCATGCACACATGGCCCGTGCATGCACACATGGCCCGTGCATGCACACATGGCCCAGTGCATGCACACATGGCCCGTGCATGCACACATGGCCCGTGCATGCACACATGGCCCGTGCATGCACACATGGCCCGTGCATGCACACATGGCCCGTGCATGCACACATGGCCCGTGCATGCACACATGGCCCGTGCATGCACACATGGCCCGTGCATGCACACATGGCCCGTGCATGCACACATGGCCCGTGCATGCACACATGGCCCGTGCATGCACACATGGCCCGTGCATGCACACATGGCCCGTGCATGCACACATGGCCCGTGCATGCACACATGGCCCGTGCATGCACACATGGCCCGTGCATGCACACATGGCCCGTGCATGCACACATGGCCCGTGCATGCACACATGGCCCGTGCATGCACACATGGCCCGTGCATGCACACATGGCCCGTGCATGCACACATGGCCCGTGCATGCACACATGGCCCGTGCATGCACACATGGCCCGTGCATGCACACATGGCCCGTGCATGCACACATGGCCCGTGCATGCACACATGGCCCGTGCATGCACACATGGCCCGTGCATGCACACATGGCCCGTGCATGCACACATGGCCCGTGCATGCACACATGGCCCGTGCATGCACACATGGCCCGTGCATGCACACATGGCCCGTGCATGCACACATGGCCCGTGCATGCACACATGGCCCGTGCATGCACACATGGCCCGTGCATGCACACATGGCCCGTGCATGCACACATGGCCCGTGCATGCACACATGGCCCGTGCATGCACACATGGCCCGTGCATGCACACATGGCCCGTGCATGCACACATGGCCCGTGCATGCACACATGGCCCGTGCATGCACACATGGCCCGTGCATGCACACATGGCCCGTGCATGCACACATGGCCCGTGCATGCACACATGGCCCGTGCATGCACACATGGCCCGTGCATGCACACATGGCCCGTGCATGCACACATGGCCCGTGCAATGCACACATGGCCCGTGCATGCACACATGGCCCGTGGCATGCACACATGGCCCGTGCATGCACACATGGCCCGTGCATGCACACATGGCCCGTGCATGCCACATGGCCCGTGCATGCACACATGGCCCGTGCATGCACACATGGCCCGTGCATGCACACATGGCCCGTGCATGCAGCACATGGCCCGTGCATGCACACATGGCCCGTGCATGCACACATGCCATGCACACATGGCCCGTGCATGCACACATGGCCCGTGCATGCACACATGGCCCCGTGCATGCACACATGGCCCGTGCATGCACACATGGCCCGTGCATGCACACATGGCCCGTGCATGCACACATGGCCCGTGCATGCACACATGGCCCGTGCATGCACACATGGCCCGTGCATGCACACATGGCCCGTGCATGCACACATGGCCCGTGCATGCACACATGGCCCGTGCATGCACACATGGCCCGTGCATGCACACATGGCCCGTGCATGCACACATGGCCCGTGCATGCACACATGGCCCGTGCATGCACACATGGCCCGTGCATGCACACATGGCCCGTGCATGCACACATGGCCCGTGCATGCACACATGGCCCGTGCATGCACACATGGCCCGTGCATGCACACATGGCCCGTGCATGCACACATGGCCCGTGCATGCACACATGGCCCGTGCATGCACACATGGCCCGTGCATGCACACATGGCCCGTGCATGCACACATGGCCCGTGCATGCACACATGGCCCGTGCATGCACACATGGCCCGTGCATGCACACATGGCCCGTGCATGCCACACATGGCCCGTGCATGCACACATGGCCCGTGCATGCACACATGGCCCGTGCATGCACACATGGCCCGTGCATGCACACATGGCCCGTGCATGCACACACATGGCCCGTGCATGCACACATGGCCCGTGCATGCACACATGGCCCGTGCATGCACACATGGCCCGTGCATGCACACATGGGCCCGTGCATGCACACATGGCCCCGTGCATGCACACATGGCCCGTGCATGCACACATGGCCCGTGCATGCACACATGGCCCGTGCATGCACACATGGCCCGTGCAATGCACACATGGCCCCGTGCATGCACACCATGGCCCGTGCATGCACACATGGCCCGTGCATGCACACATGGCCCGTGCATGCACACATGGGCCCGTTGCATGCACACATGGCCCGTGCATGCACACATGGCCCGTGCATGCACACATGGCCCGTGCATGCACACATGGCCCGTGCATGCACACATGGCCCGTGCATGCACACATGGCCCGTGCATGCCCACATGGCATGGCCCGTGCATGCACACATGGCCCGTGCATGCACACATGGCCCGTGCATGCACACATGGCCCGTGCATGCACACATGGCCCGTGCATGCACACATGGCCCGTGCATGCACACATGGCCCGTGCATGCACACATGGCCCGTGCATGCACACATGGCCCGTGCATGCACACATGGCCCGTGCATGCACACATGGCCCGTGCATGCACACATGGCCCGTGCATGCACACATGGCCCGTGCATGCACACATGGCCCGTGCATGCACACATGGCCCGTGCATGCACACATGGCCCGTGCATGCACACATGGCCCGTGCATGCACACATGGCCCGTGCATGCACACATGGCCCGTGCATGCACACATGGCCCGTGCATGCACACATGGCCCGTGCATGCACACATGGCCCGTGCATGCACACATGGCCCGTGCATGCACACATGGCCCGTGCATGCACACATGGCCCGTGCATGCACACATGGCCCGTGCATGCACACATGGCCCGTGCATGCCACACATGGCCCGTGCATGCACACATGGCCCCGTGCATGCACACATGGCCCGTGCATGCACACATGGCCCGTGCATGCACACATGCCCGTGCATGCACACATGGCCCGTGCATGCACACATGGCCCGTGCATGCACACATGGCCCGTGCATGCACACATGCCCGTGCATGCACCATGGCCCGTGCATGCACACATGGCCCGTGCATGCACACATGGCCCGTGCATGCACACATGGCCCGTGCATGCACACATGGCCCGTGCATGCACACATGGCCCGTGCATGCACACATGGCCCGTGCATGCACACATGGCCCGTGCATGCACACATGGCCCGTGCATGCACACATGGCCCGTGCATGCACACATGGCCCGTGCATGCACACATGGCCCGTGCATGCACACATGGCCCGTGCATGCACACATGGCCCGTGCATGCACACATGGCCCGTGCATGCACACATGGCCCGTGCATGCACACATGCCCCGTGCATGCACACATGGCCCGTGCATGCACACATGGCCCGTGCATGCACACATGGCCCGTGCATGCACACATGGCCCGTGCATGCACACATGGCCCGTGCATGCACACATGGCCCGTTGCATGCACACATGGCCCGTGCATGCACACATGGCCCGTGCATGCACACATGGCCCCGTGCATGCACACATGGCCCGTGCATGCACACATGGCCCTTGCATGCACACATGGCCCGTGCATGCACACATGGCCCGTGCATGCACACATGGCCCGTGCATGCACACATGGCCCGTGCATGCACACATGGCCCGTGCATGCACACATGGCCCGTGCATGCACACATGGCCCGTGCATGCACACATGGCCCGTGCATGCACACATGGCCCGTGCATGCACACATGGCCCGTGCTGCACACATGGCCGTGCATGCACACATGGCCCGTGCATGCACACATGGCCCGTGCATGCACACATGGGCCGTGCATGCACACATGGCCCAGCGTGCATGCACACATGGCCCGTGCATGCACACATGGCCCGTGCATGCACACATGGCCCGTGCATGCACACATGGCCCGTGCATGCACACATGGCCCGTGCATGCACACATGGCCCCATGTGCATGCACACATGGCCCGTGCATGCACACATGGCCCGTGCATGCACACATGGCCCGTGCATGCACACATGGCCCGTGCATGCACACATGGCCCGTGCATGCACACATGGCCCGTGCATGCACACATGGCCCGTGCATGCACACATGGCCCGTGCATGCACACATGGCCCGTGCATGCACACATGGCCCGTGCATGCACACATGGCCCGTGCATGCACACATGGCCCGTGCATGCACACATGGCCCGTGCATGCACACATGGCCCGTGCATGCACACATGGCCCGTGCATGCACACATGGCCCGTGCATGCACACATGGCCCGTGCATGCACACATGGCCCGTGCATGCACACATGGCCCGTGCATGCACACATGGCCCGTGCATGCACACATGGCCCGTGCATGCACACATGGCCCGTGCATGCACACATGGCCCGTGCATGCACACATGGCCCGTGCATGCACACATGGCCCGTGCATGCACACATGGCCCGTGCATGCACACATGGCCCGTGCATGCACACATGGCCCGTGCATGCACACATGGCCCGTGCATGCACACATGGCCCGTGCATGCACACATGGCCCGTGCATGCACACATGGCCCGTGCATGCACACATGGCCCGTGCATGCACACATGGCCCGTGCATGCACACATGGCCCGTGCATGCACACATGGCCCGTGCATGCACACATGGCCCGTGCATGCACACATGGCCCGTGCATGCACACATGGCCCGTGCATGCACACATGGCCCGTGCATGCACACATGGCCCGTGCATGCACACATGGCCCGTGCATGCACACATGGCCCGTGCATGCACACATGGCCCGTGCATGCACACATGGCCCGTGCATGCACACATGGCCCGTGCATGCACACATGGCCCGTGCATGCACACATGGCCCGTGCATGCACACATGGCCCGTGCATGCACACATGGCCCGTGCATGCACACATGGCCCGTGCATGCACACATGGCCCGTGCATGCACACATGGCCCGTGCATGCACACATGGCCCGTGCAATGCACACATGGCCCGTGCAATGCACACATGGCCCGTGCATGCACACATGGCCCGTGCAATGCACACATGGCCGTGCATGCACACATGGCCCGTGCATGCACACATGCCCGTGCATGCACACATGGGCCCGTGCATGCACACATGGCCCTTGCATCACACATGGCCCGTGCATGCACACATGGCCCGTGCATGCACACATGGCCCGTGCATGCACACATGGCCCGTGCATGCACACATGGCCCGTGCATGCACACATGGCCCGTGCATGCACACATGGCCCGTGCATGCACACATGGCCCGTGCATGCACACATGGCCCGTGCATGCACACATGGCCCGTGCATGCACACATGGCCCGTGCATGCACACATGGCCCGTGCATGCACACATGGCCCGTGCATGCACACATGGCCCGTGCATGCACACATGGCCCGTGCATGCACACATGGCCCGTGCATGCACACATGGCCCGTGCATGCACACATGGCCCGTGCATGCACACATGGCCCGTGCATGCACACATGGCCCGTGCATGCACACATGGCCCGTGCATGCACACATGGCCCGTGCATGCACACATGGCCCGTGCATGCACACATGGCCCGTGCATGCACACATGGCCCGTGCATGCACACATGGCCCGTGCATGCACACATGGCCCGTGCATGCACACATGGCCCGTGCATGCACACATGGCCCGTGCATGCACACATGGCCCGTGCATGCACACATGGCCCGTGCATGCACACATGGCCCGTGCATGCACACATGGCCCGTGCATGCACACATGGCCCGTGCATGCACACATGGCCCGTGCATGCACACATGGCCCGTGCATGCACACATGGCCCGTGCATGCACACATGGCCCGTGCATGCACACATGGCCCGTGCATGCACACATGGCCCGTGCATGCACACATGGCCCGTGCATGCACACATGGCCCGTGCATGCACACATGGCCCGTGCATGCACACATGGCCCGTGCATGCACACATGGCCCGTGCATGCACACATGGCCCGTGCATGCACACATGGCCCGTGCATGCACACATGGCCCGTGCATGCACACATGGCCCGTGCATGCACACATGGCCCGTGCATGCACACATGGCCCGTGCATGCACACATGGCCCGTGCATGCACACATGGCCCGTGCATGCACACATGGCCCGTGCATGCACACATGGCCCGTGCATGCACACATGGCCCGTGCATGCACACATGGCCCGTGCATGCACACATGGCCCGTGCATGCACACATGGCCCGTGCATGCACACATGGCCCGTGCATGCACACATGGCCCGTGCATGCACACATGGCCCGTGCATGCACACATGGCCCGTGCATGCACACATGGCCCGTGCATGCACACATGGCCCGTGCATGCACACATGGCCCGTGCATGCACACATGGCCCGTGCATGCACACATGGCCCGTGCATGCACACATGGCCCGTGCATGCACACATGGCCCGTGCATGCACACATGGCCCGTGCATGCACACATGGCCCGTGCATGCACACATGGCCCGTGCATGCACACATGGCCCGTGCTGCACACATGGCCCGTGCATGCACACATGGCCCGTGCATGCACACATGGCCCGTGCATGCACACATGGCCCGTGCATGCACACATGGCCCGTGCATGCACACATGGCCCGTGCATGCACACGGCCCGTGCATGCACACATGGCCCGTGCATGCACCACATGGCCCGTGCATGCACACATGGCCCGTGCATGCACACATGCCCGTGATGCCACATGGCCCGTGCATGCACACATGGCCGTGCATGCACACATGGCCCGTGCATGCACACATGGGCCCGTGCATGCACACATGGCCCGTGCATGCACCACATGGCCCGTGCATGCACACATGGCCCGTGCATGCACACATGGCCCGTGCATGCACACATGGCCCCGTTGCTGATGCACACATGGCCCGTGCATGCACCCACATGGCCCGTGCATGCACAACATGGCCCGTGCATGCACACATGGCCCGTGCATGCACACATGGCCCGTGCATGCACACATGGCCCGTGCATGCACACATGGCCCGTGCATGCACACATGGCCCGTGCATGCACACATGGCCCGTGCATGCACACATGGCCCGTGCATGCCACACATGGCCCGTGCATGCACACATGGCCCGTGCATGCACACATGGCCCGTGCATGCACACATGGCCCGTGCATGCACACATGGCCCGTGCATGCAACACATGGCCCGTGCATGCACACATGGCCCGTGCATGCACACAGGGCCCGTGCATGCACACATGGCCCGTGCAGTGCACACATGGCCCGTGCATGCACACATGGCCCGTGCATGCACACATGGCCCGTGCATGCACACATGGCCCGTGCATGCACACATGGCCCGTGCATGCACACATGGCCCGTGCATGCACACATGGCCCGTGCATGCACACATGGCCCGTGCATGCACACATGGCCCGTGCATGCACACATGGCCCGTGCATGCACACATGGCCCGTGCATGCACACATGGCCCGTGCATGCACACATGGCCCGTGCAGCACACATGGCCCGTGCATTGCCCGATGGCCCGTGCATGCACACATGGCCCGTGCATGCACCATGCCCCGTGCATGCACACATGGCCCGTGCATGCACACAATGGCCCGTGCATGCACACATGCCCGTGCATGCACACATGGCCCGTGCATGCACACATGGCCCGTGCATGCACACATGGCCCGTGCATGCACACATGGCCCTGTGCATGCACACATGGCCCGTGCATGCACACATGGCCCGTGCATGCACACATGGCCCGTGCATGCACACATGGCCCGTGCATGCACACATGGCCCGTGCATGCACACATGGCCCGTGCATGCACACATGGCCCGTGCATGCACACATGGCCCGTGCATGCACACATGGCCCGTGCATGCACACAATGGCCCGTGCATGCACACATGGCCCGTGCATGCACACATGGCCCGTGCATGCACACATGGCCCGTGCATGCACACATGGCCCGTGCATGCACACATGGCCCGTGCATGCACACATGGCCCGTGCATGCACACATGGCCCGTGCATGCACACATGGCCCGTGCATGCACACATGGCCCGTGCATGCACACATGGCCCGTGCATGCACACATGGCCCGTGCATGCACACATGGCCCGTGCATGCACACATGGCCCGTGCATGCACACATGGCCCGTGCATGCACACATGGCCCGTGCATGCACACATGGCCCGTGCATGCACACATGGCCCGTGCATGCACACATGGCCCGTGCATGCACACATGGCCCGTGCATGCACACATGGCCCGTGCATGCACACATGGCCCGTGCATGCACACATGGCCCGTGCATGCACACATGGCCCGTGCATGCACACATGGCCCGTGCATGCACACATGGCCCGTGCATGCACACATGGCCCGTGCATGCACACATGGCCCGTGCATGCACACATGGCCCGTGCATGCACACATGGCCCGTGCATGCACACATGGCCCGTGCATGCACACATGGCCCGTGCATGCACACATGGCCCGTGCATGCACACATGGCCCGTGCATGCACACATGGCCCGTGCATGCACACATGGCCCGTGCATGCACACATGGCCCGTGCATGCACACATGGCCCGTGCATGCACACATGGCCCGTGCATGCACACATGGCCCGTGCATGCACACATGGCCCGTGCATGCACACATGGCCCGTGCATGCACACATGGCCCGTGCATGCACACATGGCCCGTGCATGCACACATGGCCCGTGCATGCACACATGGCCCGTGCATGCACACATGGCCCGTGCATGCACACATGGCCCGTGCATGCACACATGGCCCGTGCATGCACACATGGCCCGTGCATGCACACATGGCCCGTGCATGCACACATGGCCCGTGCATGCACACATGGCCCGTGCATGCACACATGGCCCGTGCATGCACACATGGCCCGTGCATGCACACATGGCCCGTGCATGCACACATGGCCCGTGCATGCACACATGGCCCGTGCATGCACACATGGCCCGTGCATGCACACATGGCCCGTGCATGCACACATGGCCCGTGCATGCACACATGGCCCGTGCATGCACACATGGCCCGTGCATGCACACATGGCCCGTGCATGCACACATGGCCCGTGCATGCACACATGGCCCGTGCATGCACACATGGCCCGTGCATGCACACATGGCCCGTGCATGCACACATGGCCCGTGCATGCACACATGGCCCGTGCATGCACACATGGCCCGTGCATGCACACATGGCCCGTGCATGCACACATGGCCCGTGCATGCACACATGGCCCGTGCATGCACACATGGCCCGTGCATGCACACATGGCCCGTGCATGCACACATGGCCCGTGCATGCACACATGGCCCGTGCATGCACACATGGCCCGTGCATGCACACATGGCCCGTGCATGCACACATGGCCCGTGCATGCACACATGGCCCGTGCATGCACACATGGCCCGTGCATGCACACATGGCCCGTGCATGCACACATGGCCCGTGCATGCACACATGGCCCGTGCATGCACACATGGCCCGTGCATGCACACATGGCCCGTGCATGCACACATGGCCCGTGCATGCACACATGGCCCGTGCATGCACACATGGCCCGTGCATGCACACATGGCCCGTGCATGCACACATGGCCCGTGCATGCACACATGGCCCGTGCATGCACACATGGCCCGTGCATGCACACATGGCCCGTGCATGCACACATGGCCCGTGCATGCACACATGGCCCGTGCATGCACACATGGCCCGTGCATGCACACATGGCCCGTGCATGCACACATGGCCCGTGCATGCACACATGGCCCGTGCATGCACACATGGCCCGTGCATGCACACATGGCCCGTGCATGCACACATGGCCCGTGCATGCACACATGGCCCGTGCATGCACACATGGCCCGTGCATGCACACATGGCCCGTGCATGCACACATGGCCCGTGCATGCACACATGGCCCGTGCATGCACACATGGCCCGTGCATGCACACATGGCCCGTGCATGCACACATGGCCCGTGCATGCACACATGGCCCGTGCATGCACACATGGCCCGTGCATGCACACATGGCCCGTGCATGCACACATGGCCCGTGCATGCACACATGGCCCGTGCATGCACACATGGCCCGTGCATGCACACATGGCCCGTGCATGCACACATGGCCCGTGCATGCACACATGGCCCGTGCATGCACACATGGCCCGTGCATGCACACATGGCCCGTGCATGCACACATGGCCCGTGCATGCACACATGGCCCGTGCATGCACACATGGCCCGTGCATGCACACATGGCCCGTGCATGCACACATGGCCCGTGCATGCACACATGGCCCGTGCATGCACACATGGCCCGTGCATGCACACATGGCCCGTGCATGCACACATGGCCCGTGCATGCACACATGGCCCGTGCATGCACACATGGCCCGTGCATGCACACATGGCCCGTGCATGCACACATGGCCCGTGCATGCACACATGGCCCGTGCATGCACACATGGCCCGTGCATGCACACATGGCCCGTGCATGCACACATGGCCCGTGCATGCACACATGGCCCGTGCATGCACACATGGCCCGTGCATGCACACATGGCCCGTGCATGCACACATGGCCCGTGCATGCACACATGGCCCGTGCATGCACACATGGCCCGTGCATGCACACATGGCCCGTGCATGCACACATGGCCCGTGCATGCACACATGGCCCGTGCATGCACACATGGCCCGTGCATGCACACATGGCCCGTGCATGCACACATGGCCCGTGCATGCACACATGGCCCGTGCATGCACACATGGCCCGTGCATGCACACATGGCCCGTGCATGCACACATGGCCCGTGCATGCACACATGGCCCGTGCATGCACACATGGCCCGTGCATGCACACATGGCCCGTGCATGCACACATGGCCCGTGCATGCACACATGGCCCGTGCATGCACACATGGCCCGTGCATGCACACATGGCCCGTGCATGCACACATGGCCCGTGCATGCACACATGGCCCGTGCATGCACACATGGCCCGTGCATGCACACATGGCCCGTGCATGCACACATGGCCCGTGCATGCACACATGGCCCGTGCATGCACACATGGCCCGTGCATGCACACATGGCCCGTGCATGCACACATGGCCCGTGCATGCACACATGGCCCGTGCATGCACACATGGCCCGTGCATGCACACATGGCCCGTGCATGCACACATGGCCCGTGCATGCACACATGGCCCGTGCATGCACACATGGCCCGTGCATGCACACATGGCCCGTGCATGCACACATGGCCCGTGCATGCACACATGGCCCGTGCATGCACACATGGCCCGTGCATGCACACATGGCCCGTGCATGCACACATGGCCCGTGCATGCACACATGGCCCGTGCATGCACACATGGCCCGTGCATGCACACATGGCCCGTGCATGCACACATGGCCCGTGCATGCACACATGGCCCGTGCATGCACACATGGCCCGTGCATGCACACATGGCCCGTGCATGCACACATGGCCCGTGCATGCACACATGGCCCGTGCATGCACACATGGCCCGTGCATGCACACATGGCCCGTGCATGCACACATGGCCCGTGCATGCACACATGGCCCGTGCATGCACACATGGCCCGTGCATGCACACATGGCCCGTGCATGCACACATGGCCCGTGCATGCACACATGGCCCGTGCATGCACACATGGCCCGTGCATGCACACATGGCCCGTGCATGCACACATGGCCCGTGCATGCACACATGGCCCGTGCATGCACACATGGCCCGTGCATGCACACATGGCCCGTGCATGCACACATGGCCCGTGCATGCACACATGGCCCGTGCATGCACACATGGCCCGTGCATGCACACATGGCCCGTGCATGCACACATGGCCCGTGCATGCACACATGGCCCGTGCATGCACACATGGCCCGTGCATGCACACATGGCCCGTGCATGCACACATGGCCCGTGCATGCACACATGGCCCGTGCATGCACACATGGCCCGTGCATGCACACATGGCCCGTGCATGCACACATGGCCCGTGCATGCACACATGGCCCGTGCATGCACACATGGCCCGTGCATGCACACATGGCCCGTGCATGCACACATGGCCCGTGCATGCACACATGGCCCGTGCATGCACACATGGCCCGTGCATGCACACATGGCCCGTGCATGCACACATGGCCCGTGCATGCACACATGGCCCGTGCATGCACACATGGCCCGTGCATGCACACATGGCCCGTGCATGCACACATGGCCCGTGCATGCACACATGGCCCGTGCATGCACACATGGCCCGTGCATGCACACATGGCCCGTGCATGCACACATGGCCCGTGCATGCACACATGGCCCGTGCATGCACACATGGCCCGTGCATGCACACATGGCCCGTGCATGCACACATGGCCCGTGCATGCACACATGGCCCGTGCATGCACACATGGCCCGTGCATGCACACATGGCCCGTGCATGCACACATGGCCCGTGCATGCACACATGGCCCGTGCATGCACACATGGCCCGTGCATGCACACATGGCCCGTGCATGCACACATGGCCCGTGCATGCACACATGGCCCGTGCATGCACACATGGCCCGTGCATGCACACATGGCCCGTGCATGCACACTGGCCCGTGCATGCACACATGGCCCGTGCATGCACACATGGGCCCGTGCATGCACACATGGCCCGTGCATGCACACCATGGCCCGTGCATGCACACATTGGCCCGTGCATGCACACATGGCCCCGTGCATGCACACATGGCCCGTGCATGCACACATGGCCCGTGCATGCACACATGGCCCGTGCATGCACACATGGCCCCGTGCATGCACACATGGCCCGTGCATGCACACATGGCCCGTGCATGCACACATGGCCCGTGCATGCACACATGGCCCGTGCATGCACACATGGCCCGTGCATGCACACATGGCCCGTGCATGCACACATGGCCCGTGCATGCACACATGGCCCGTGCATGCACACATGGCCCGTGCATGCACACATGGCCCGTGCATGCACACATGGCCCCGTGCATGCACACATGGCCCGTGCATGCACACATGGCCCGTGCATGCACACATGGCCCCGTGCATGCACACATGGCCCGTGCATGCACACATGGCCCGTGCATGCACACATGGCCCGTGCATGCACACATGGCCCGTGCATGCACACATGGCCCGTGCATGCACACATGGCCCGTGCATGCACACATGGCCCGTGCATGCACACATGGCCCGTGCATGCACACATGGCCCGTGCATGCACACATGGCCCGTGCATGCACACATGGCCCGTGCATGCACACATGGCCCGTGCATGCACACATGGCCCGTGCATGCACACATGGCCCGTGCATGCACACATGGCCCGTGCATGCACACATGGCCCGTGCATGCACACATGGCCCGTGCATGCACACATGGCCCGTGCATGCACACATGGCCCGTGCATGCACACATGGCCCGTGCATGCACACATGGCCCGTGCATGCACACATGGCCCGTGCATGCACACATGGCCCGTGCATGCACACATGGCCCGTGCATGCACACATGGCCCGTGCATGCACACATGGCCCGTGCATGCACACATGGCCCGTGCATGCACACATGGCCCGTGCATGCACACATGGCCCGTGCATGCACACATGGCCCGTGCATGCACACATGGCCCGTGCATGCACACATGGCCCGTGCATGCACACATGGCCCGTGCATGCACACATGGCCCGTGCATGCACACATGGCCCGTGCATGCACACATGGCCCGTGCATGCACACATGGCCCGTGCATGCACACATGGCCCGTGCATGCACACATGGCCCGTGCATGCACACATGGCCCGTGCATGCACACATGGCCCGTGCATGCACACATGGCCCGTGCATGCACACATGGCCCGTGCATGCACACATGGCCCGTGCATGCACACATGGCCCGTGCATGCACACATGGCCCGTGCATGCACACATGGCCCGTGCATGCACACATGGCCCGTGCATGCACACATGGCCCGTGCATGCACACATGGCCCGTGCATGCACACATGGCCCGTGCATGCACACATGGCCCGTGCATGCACACATGGCCCGTGCATGCACACATGGCCCGTGCATGCACACATGGCCCGTGCATGCACACATGGCCCGTGCATGCACACATGGCCCGTGCATGCACACATGGCCCGTGCATGCACACATGGCCCGTGCATGCACACATGGCCCGTGCATGCACACATGGCCCGTGCATGCACACATGGCCCGTGCATGCACACATGGCCCGTGCATGCACACATGGCCCGTGCATGCACACATGGCCCGTGCATGCACACATGGCCCGTGCATGCACACATGGCCCGTGCATGCACACATGGCCCGTGCATGCACACATGGCCCGTGCATGCACACATGGCCCGTGCATGCACACATGGCCCGTGCATGCACACATGGCCCGTGCATGCACACATGGCCCGTGCATGCACACATGGCCCGTGCATGCACACATGGCCCGTGCATGCACACATGGCCCGTGCATGCACACATGGCCCGTGCATGCACACATGGCCCGTGCATGCACACATGGCCCGTGCATGCACACATGGCCCGTGCATGCACACATGGCCCGTGCATGCACACATGGCCCGTGCATGCACACATGGCCCGTGCATGCACACATGGCCCGTGCATGCACACATGGCCCGTGCATGCACACATGGCCCGTGCATGCACACATGGCCCGTGCATGCACACATGGCCCGTGCATGCACACATGGCCCGTGCATGCACACATGGCCCGTGCATGCACACATGGCCCGTGCATGCACACATGGCCCGTGCATGCCACATGGCCCGTGCATGCACACATGGCCCGTGCATGCACACATGGCCCGTGCAATGGCACACATGGCCCGTGCATGCACACATGGCCCGTGCATGCACACATGGCCCGTGCATGCACACATGGCCCGTGCATGCACACATGGCCCGTGCATGCACACATGGCCCGTGCATGCACACATGGCCCGTGCATGCACACATGGCCCGTGCATGCACACATGGCCCGTGCATGCACACATGGCCCGTGCATGCACACATGGCCCGTGCATGCACACATGGCCCGTGCATGCACACATGGCCGTGCATGCACACATGGCCCGTGCATGCACACATGGCCCGTGCATGCACACATGGCCCGTGCATGCACACATGGCCCGTGCATGCACACAATGGCCCGTGCATGCACCAACATGGCCCGTGCATGCACACATGGCCCGTGCAATGCACACATGGCCCGTGCATGCACACATGGCCCGTGCATGCACACATGGCCCGTGCATGCACACATGGCCCGTGCATGCACACATGGCCCGTGCATGCACACATGGCCCGTGCATGCACACGATAGGCCCGTGCATGCACACTGGCCCGTGCTGCACACATGGCCCGTGCATGCACACATGGCCCGTGCATGCACACATGGCCCGTGCATGCACACATGGCCCGTGCATGCACACATGGCCCGTGCATGCACACATGGCCCGTGCATGCACACTGGCCCGTGCATGCACCACATGGCCCGTGCATGCACACATGTGGCCCCGTGCATGCACACGATGGCCCGTGCATGCACACATGGCCCGTGCTGCACACATGGCCCGTGCATGCACACATGGCCCGTGCATGCACCATGGCCCGTGCATGCACACATGGCCCGTGCATGCACACATGCCCGTGCATGCACACATGGCCCCGTGCATTGCACACATGGCCCGTGCATGCACACATGGCCCGTGCATGCACACATGGCCCGTGCATGCACACATGGCCCGTGCATGCACACATGGCCCGTGCATGCACACATGGCCCGTGCATGCACACATGCCCGTGCATGCACACATGGCCCGTGCATGCACACATGGCCCGTGCATGCACACATGGCCCGTGCATGCACACATGGGCCCGTGCATGCACACATGGCCCGTGCATGCACACATGGCCCGTGCATGCACACATGGCCCGTGCATGCACACATGGCCCGTGCATGCACACATGGCCCGTGCATGCACACATGGCCCGTGCATGCCACATGGCCCGTGCATGCACACATGGCCCGTGCATGCACACATGGCCCGTGCATGCACACATGGCCCGTGCATGCACACATGGCCCGTGCATGCACACATGCCCGTGCATGCACACATGGCCCGTGCATGCACACATGGCCCGTAGCATGCACACAGGGTGCAGTTGCACACATGGCCCGTGCATGCACACAGGCCCGTGCATGCACACATGGCCCGGCATGCACACATGGCCCGTGCATGCACACAATGGCCCGTGCATGCACACATGGCCCCGTGCATGCACACATGGCCCGTGCATGCACACATGGCCCGTGCATGCACACATGGCCCGTGCATGCACACATGGCCCGTGCATGCACACATGGCCCGTGCATGCACACATGGCCCGTGCATGCACACATGGCCCGTGCATGCACACATGGCCCGTGCATGCACACATGGCCCGTGCATGCACACATGGCCCGTGCATGCACACATGGCCCGTGCATGCACACATGGCCCGTGCATGCACACATGGCCCGTGCATGCACACATGGCCCGTGCATGCACACATGGCCCGTGCATGCACACATGGCCCGTGCATGCACACATGGCCCGTGCATGCACACATGGCCCGTGCATGCACACATGGCCCGTGCATGCACACATGGCCCGTGCATGCACACATGGCCCGTGCATGCACACATGGCCCGTGCATGCACACATGGCCCGTGCATGCACACATGGCCCGTGCATGCACACATGGCCCGTGCATGCACACATGGCCCGTGCATGCACACATGGCCCGTGCATGCACACATGGCCCGTGCATGCACACATGGCCCGTGCATGCACACATGGCCCGTGCATGCACACATGGCCCGTGCAGCACACATGGCCCCGTGGTGCACACATGCCCGGCAACACATGGTACCGTGCATGCACACATGGCCCGTGCATGCACACATGGCCCGTGCATGCCACATGGCCCGTGCATGCTACACATGGCCCGTGCATGCACACATGGCCCGTGCATGCACACATGGCCCGTGCATGCACACATGGCCCGTGCATGCACACATGGCCCGTGCATGCACACATGGCCCGTGCATGCACACATGGCCCGTGCATGCACACATGGCCCGTGCATGCACACATGGCCCCGGCATGCACACATGGCCCCGTAGCATGCACACATGGCCCGTGCATGCACACATGGCCGTGCATGCACACATGGCCCGTGCATGCACACATGGCCCGTGCATGCACACATGGCCCGTGCATGCACACATGGCCCGTGCATGCACACATGGCCCGTGCATGCACACATGGCCCGTGCATGCACACATGGCCCGTGCATGCACACATGGCCCGTGCATGCACACATGGCCCGTGCATGCACACATGGCCCGTGCATGCACACATGGCCCGTGCATGCACACATGGCCCGTGCATGCACACATGGCCCGTGCATGCACACATGGCCCGTGCATGCACACATGGCCCGTGCATGCACACATGGCCCGTGCATGCACACATGGCCCGTGCATGCACACATGGCCCGTGCATGCACACATGGCCCGTGCATGCACACATGGCCCGTGCATGCACACATGGCCCGTGCATGCACACATGGCCCGTGCATGCACACATGGCCCGTGCATGCACACATGGCCCGTGCATGCACACATGGCCCGTGCATGCACACATGGCCCGTGCATGCACACATGGCCCGTGCATGCACACATGGCCCGTGCATGCACACATGGCCCGTGCATGCACACATGGCCCGTGCATGCACACATGGCCCGTGCATGCACACATGGCCCGTGCATGCACACATGGCCCGTGCATGCACACATGGCCCGTGCATGCACACATGGCCCGTGCATGCACACATGGCCCGTGCATGCACACATGGCCCGTGCATGCACACATGGCCCGTGCATGCACACATGGCCCGTGCATGCACACATGGCCCGTGCATGCACACATGGCCCGTGCATGCACACATGGCCCGTGCATGCACACCTGGCCCGTGCATGCACACATGGCCCGTGCATGCACACATGGCCCGTGCATGCACACATGGCCCGTGCATGCACACATGGCCCGTGCATGCACACATGGCCCGTGCATGCACACATGGCCCGTGCATGCACACATGGCCCGTGCATGCACCCATGGCCCGTGCATGCACACATGGCCCGTGCATGCACACATGGCCCGTGCATGCACACATGGCCCGTGCATGCACACATGGCCCGTGCATGCACATGCCTGCATGCACATGGCCCGTGCATGCACACATGGCCCGTGCATGCACACATGGCCCGTGCATGCACACATGGCCCGTGCATGCACACATGGCCCGTGCATGCACACATGGCCCGTGCATGCACACATGGCCCGTGCATGCACACATGGCCCGTGCATGCACACATGGCCCGTGCATGCACACATGGCCCGTGCATGCACACATGGCCCGTGCATGCACACATGGCCCGTGCATGCACACATGGCCCGTGCATGCACACATGGCCCGTGCATGCACACATGGCCCGTGCATGCACACATGGCCCGTGCATGCACACATGGCCCGTGCATGCACACATGGCCCGTGCATGCACACATGGCCCGTGCATGCACACATGGCCCGTGCATGCACACATGGCCCGTGCATGCACACATGGCCCGTGCATGCACACATGGCCCGTGCATGCACACATGGCCCGTGCATGCACACATGGCCCGTGCATGCACACATGGCCCGTGCATGCACACATGGCCCGTGCATGCACACATGGCCCGTGCATGCACACATGGCCCGTGCATGCACACATGGCCCGTGCATGCACACATGGCCCGTGCATGCACACATGGCCCGTGCATGCACACATGGCCCGTGCATGCACACATGGCCCGTGCATGCACACATGGCCCGTGCATGCACACATGGCCCGTGCATGCACACATGGCCCGTGCATGCACACATGGCCCGTGCATGCACACATGGCCCGTGCATGCACACATGGCCCGTGCATGCACACATGGCCCGTGCATGCACACATGGCCCGTGCATGCACACATGGCCCGTGCATGCACACATGGCCCGTGCATGCACACATGGCCCGTGCATGCACACATGGCCCGTGCATGCACACATGGCCCGTGCATGCACACATGGCCCGTGCATGCACACATGGCCCGTGCATGCACACATGGCCCGTGCATGCACACATGGCCCGTGCATGCACACATGGCCCGTGCATGCACACATGGCCCGTGCATGCACACATGGCCCGTGCATGCACACATGGCCCGTGCATGCACACATGGCCCGTGCATGCACACATGGCCCGTGCATGCACACATGGCCCGTGCATGCACACATGGCCCGTGCATGCACACATGGCCCGTGCATGCACACATGGGCCCGTGCATGCACACATGGCCCGTGCATGCACACATGGCCCGTGCATGCACACATGCCCGTGCATGCACACATGGCCCGTGCATGCACACATGGCCCGTGCATGCACACATGGCCCGTGCATGCACACATGGCCCGTGCATGCACACATGGCCCGTGCATGCACACATGGCCCGTGCATGCACACATGGCCCGTGCATGCACACATGGCCCGTGCATGCACACATGGCCCGTGCATGCACACATGGCCCGTGCATGCACACATGGCCCGTGCATGCACACATGGCCCGTGCATGCACACATGGCCCGTGCATGCACACATGGCCCGTGCATGCACACATGGCCCGTGCATGCACACATGGCCCGTGCATGCACACATGGCCCGTGCATGCACACATGGCCCGTGCATGCACACATGGCCCGTGCATGCACACATGGCCCGTGCATGCACACATGGCCCGTGCATGCACACATGGCCCGTGCATGCACACATGGCCCGTGCATGCACACATGGCCCGTGCATGCACACATGGGCCCGTGCATGCACACATGGCCCGTGCATGCACACATGGCCCGTGCATGCACACATGGCCCGTGCATGCACACATGGCCCGTGCATGCACACATGGCCCGTGCATGCACACATGGCCCGTGCATGCACACATGGCCCGTGCATGCACACATGGCCCGTGCATGCACACATGGCCCGTGCATGCCACATGGCCCGTGCATGCACACATGGCCCGTGCATGCACACATGGCCCGTGCATGCACACATGGCCCGTGCATGCACACATGGCCCGTGCATGCACACATGGCCCGTGCATGCACACATGGCCCGTGCATGCACACATGGCCCGTGCATGCACACATGGCCCGTGCATGCACACATGGCCCGTGCATGCACACATGGCCCGTGCATGCACACATGGCCCGTGCATGCACACATGGCCCGTGCATGCACACATGGCCCGTGCATGCACACATGGCCCGTGCATGCACACATGGCCCGTGCATGCACACATGGCCCGTGCATGCACACATGGCCCGTGCATGCACACATGGCCCGTGCATGCACACATGGCCCGTGCATGCACACATGGCCCGTGCATGCACACATGGCCCGTGCATGCACACATGGCCCGTGCATGCACACATGGCCCGTGCATGCACACATGGCCCGTGCATGCACACATGGCCCGTGCATGCACACATGGCCCGTGCATGCACACATGGCCCGTGCATGCACACATGGCCCGTGCATGCACACATGGCCCGTGCATGCACACATGGCCCGTGCATGCACACATGGCCCGTGCATGCACACATGGCCCGTGCATGCACACATGGCCCGTGCATGCACACATGGCCCGTGCATGCACACATGGCCCGTGCATGCACACATGGCCCGTGCATGCACACATGGCCCGTGCATGCACACATGGCCCGTGCATGCACACATGGCCCGTGCATGCACACATGGCCCGTGCATGCACACATGGCCCGTGCATGCACACATGGCCCGTGCATGCACACATGGCCCGTGCATGCACACATGGCCCGTGCATGCACACATGGCCCGTGCATGCACACATGGCCCGTGCATGCACACATGGCCCGTGCATGCACACATGGCCCGTGCATGCACACATGGCCCGTGCATGCACACATGGCCCGTGCATGCACACATGGCCCGTGCATGCACACATGGCCCGTGCATGCACACATGGCCCGTGCATGCACACATGGCCCGTGCATGCACACATGGCCCGTGCATGCACACATGGCCCGTGCATGCACACATGGCCCGTGCATGCACACATGGCCCGTGCATGCACACATGGCCCGTGCATGCACACATGGCCCGTGCATGCACACATGGCCCGTGCATGCACACATGGCCCGTGCATGCACACATGGCCCGTGCATGCACACATGGCCCGTGCATGCACACATGGCCCGTGCATGCACACATGGCCCGTGCATGCACACATGGCCCGTGCATGCACACATGGCCCGTGCATGCACACATGGCCCGTGCATGCACACATGGCCCGTGCATGCAGCACATGGCCCGTGCATGCACACATGGCCCGTGCATGCACACATGGCCCGTGCATGCACACATGGCCCGTGCATGCACACATGGCCCGTGCATGCACACATGGCCCGTGCATGCACACCATGGCCCGTGCAGCACCACATGGCCCGTGCATGCACACATGGCCCGTGCATGCACACATGGCCCGTGCATGCACACATGGCCCGTGCATGCACACATGGCCCGTGCATGCACACATGGCCCGTGCATGCACACATGGCCCGTGCATGTCACACATGGCCCGTGCATAGCACACATGGCCCGTGCATGCACACATGGCCCGTGCATGCACACATGGCCCGTGCATGCACACATGGCCCGTGCATGCACACATGGCCCGTGCATGCACACATGGCCCGTGCATGCACACATGGCCCGTGCATGCACACCATGGCCCGTGCATGCACACATGGCCCGTGCATGCACACTATGGCCCGTGCATGCACACATGGCCCGTGCATGCACACATGGCCCGTGCATGCACACATGGCCCGTGCATGCACACATGGCCCGTGCATGCACACATGGCCCGTGCATGCACACATGGCCCGTGCATGCACACATGGCCCGTGCATGCACACATGGCCCGTGCATGCACACATGGCCCGTGCATGCACACATGGCCCGTGCATGCACACATGGCCCGTGCATGCACACATGGCCCGTGCATGCACACATGGCCCGTGCATGCACACATGGCCCGTGCATGCACACATGGCCCCGGCATGCACACATGGCCCGTGCATGCACACATGGCCCGTGCATGCACACATGGCCCGTGCATGCACACATGGCCCGTGCATGCACACATGGCCCGTGCATGCACACATGGCCCGTGCATGCACACATGGCCCGTGCATGCACACATGGCCCGTGCATGCACACATGGCCCGTGCATGCACACATGGCCCGTGCATGCACACATGGCCCGTGCATGCACACATGGCCGTGCATGCACACATGGCCCGTGCATGCACACATGGCCCGTGCATGCACACATGGCCCGTGCATGCACACATGGCCCGTGCATGCACACATGGCCCGTGCATGCACACATGGCCCGTGCATGCACACATGGCCCGTGCATGCACACATGGCCCGTGCATGCACACATGGCCCGTGCATGCACACATGGCCCGTGCATGCACACATGGCCCGTGCATGCACACATGGCCCGTGCATGCACACATGGCCCGTGCATGCACACATGGCCCGTGCATGCACACATGGCCCGTGCATGCACACATGGCCCGTGCATGCACACATGGCCCGTGCATGCACACATGGCCCGTGCATGCACACATGGCCCGTGCATGCACACATGGCCCGTGCATGCACACATGGCCCGTGCATGCACACATGGCCCGTGCATGCACACATGGCCCGTGCATGCACACATGGCCCGTGCATGCACACATGGCCCGTGCATGCACACATGGCCCGTGCATGCACACATGGCCGTGCATGCACACATGGCCCGTGCATGCACACATGGCCCGTGCATGCACACATGGCCCGTGCATGCACACATGGCCCGTGCATGCACACATGGCCCGTGCATGCACACATGGCCCGTGCATGCACACATGGCCCGTGCATGCACACATGGCCCGTGCATGCACACATGGCCCGTGCATGCACACATGGCCCGTGCATGCACACATGGCCCGTGCATGCACACATGGCCCGTGCATGCACACATGGCCCGTGCATGCACACATGGCCCGTGCATGCACACATGGCCCGTGCATGCACACATGGCCCGTGCATGCACACATGGCCCGTGCATGCACACATGGCCCGTGCATGCACACATGGCCCGTGCATGCACACATGGCCCGTGCATGCACACATGGCCCGTGCATGCACACATGGCCCGTGCATGCACACATGGCCCGTGCATGCACACATGGCCCGTGCATGCACACATGGCCCGTGCATGCACACATGGCCCGTGCATGCACACATGGCCCGTGCATGCACACATGGCCCGTGCATGCACACATGGCCCGTGCATGCACACATGGCCCGTGCATGCACACATGGCCCGTGCATGCACACATGGCCCGTGCATGCACACATGGCCCGTGCATGCACACATGGCCCGTGCATGCACACATGGCCCGTGCATGCACACATGGCCCGTGCATGCACACATGGCCCGTGCATGCACACATGGCCCGTGCATGCACACATGGCCCGTGCATGCACACATGGCCCGTGCATGCACACATGGCCCGTGCATGCACACATGGCCCGTGCATGCACACATGGCCCGTGCATGCACACATGGCCCGTGCATGCACACATGGCCCGTGCATGCACACATGGCCCGTGCATGCACACATGGCCCGTGCATGCACACATGGCCCGTGCATGCACACATGGCCCGTGCATGCACACATGGCCCGTGCATGCACACATGGCCCGTGCATGCACACATGGCCCGTGCATGCACACATGGCCCGTGCATGCACACATGGCACACATGGCCCCCCCCGTGCATGCACACATGGCCCGTGCATGCACACATGGCCCGTGCATGCACACATGGCCCGTGCAATGCACACATGGCCCGTGCATGCACACATGGCCCGTGCATGCACACATGGCCCGTGCATGCACACATGGCCCGTGCATGCCACACATGGCCCGTGCATGCACACATGGCCCGTGCATGCACCACATGGCCCGTGCATGCACACATGGCCCGTGCATGCACACATGGCCCGTGCCTGCACACCATGGCCCGTGCATGCACACATGGCCGTGCATGCACACATGGCCCGTGCATGCACACATGCCCGTGCATGCACACATGGCCCGTGCAACATGGGCTGCACACATGGCCCGTGCATGCACACATGGCCCGTGCATGCACACATGGCCCGTGCATGCACACATGGCCCGTGCATGCACACATGGCCCGTGCATGCACACATGGCCCGTGCATGCACACATGGCCCGTGCATGCACAACATGGCCTCGTGCATGCACACATGGCCCGTGCATGCACACATGGCCCGTGCATGCACACATGGCCCGTGCATGCACACATGGCCCGTGCATGCACACATGGCCCGTGCATGCACACATGGCCCGTGCATGCACACATGGCCCGTGCATGCACACATGGCCCGTGCATGCACACATGGCCCGTGCATGCACACATGGCCCGTGCATGCACACATGGCCCGTGCATGCACACATGGCCCGTGCATGCACACATGGCCCGTGCATGCACACATGGCCCGTGCATGCACACATGGCCCGTGCATGCACACATGGCCCGTGCATGCACACATGGCCCGTGCATGCACACATGGCCCGTGCATGCACACATGGCCCGTGCATGCACACATGGCCCGTGCATGCACACATGGCCCGTGCATGCACACATGGCCCGTGCATGCACACATGGCCCGTGCATGCACACATGGCCCGTGCATGCACACATGGCCCGTGCATGCACACATGGCCCGTGCATGCACACATGGCCCGTGCATGCACACATGGCCCGTGCATGCACACATGGCCCGTGCATGCACACATGGCCCGTGCATGCACACATGGCCCGTGCATGCACACATGGCCCGTGCATGCACACATGGCCCGTGCATGCACACATGGCCCGTGCATGCACACATGGCCCGTGCATGCATGGAACGCCATGACCCAGTCAGTGACCATGGCTCTCCGCCCTCTCATGGACATGCCCTCATCCAGCCTTTTGAGGCACCTCAAAAGCCATGCACGCACCTTGTGGCCGGCCATCCACACATGGAACGCCAGCACCCAGTCTGTCACCATGGCGCTCTGCCCTCTCGTCGACATGCCCTCATCCAGCCCCCCCATGCGCTCCCACACCGCACGCCGCACCACGAGCGGCCCCGAGTCCACCACCCCCGCCATGTACCCCCGCACGCCTGCCCGCGCCTCCCACGCCGGCTGCGCCCACAGCGCCCGGCTCTGCCGCTGGTACGCCCTCACGCCCTCGCCCCCGCGGCTGTCCACATCCACCTTGCCTGTGCGGTACCCCAGTGCTGCGAGGGACGGCTGGGCGGCGTGGGCGTGCAGGATGGCGTGCAGCCAATGGCAGGAGGCGGGGGGGAGGAGGTCGTCTTGGAGCAGGGCGAGCAGGGGCGCGCGGGAGGCGGAGGCGGCGCGGTTGAAGGCGAAGACCTCGTGGGTGTTGTGGCGGAAGATGACGCGCAGGAAGGAGGGGTGGCTGCACCCATGATGCCCGCACCAAGGGGGATGTGAGGGGGGTAGGAGTGTGGTGTTGGTAGGCTCGGGGCCTGGTTGTGGTTGACTCGGTAGCGGTGGCAGTGACAGCCCTGCCCAATGGCTCACCCCCTGCCCTCCCTCCGGCCTTCCCTCTTGCCCTTCCCCCTTCCCTCCCCCCTGCCCTCTCTCCTGCCCTCCCCCTTGCCCACCCTGCCCTCCCTGCCCTTCCCCATGCCCTCCCCCAGTGTCCTGCCACATCTGCAGCCAGAGCGGCCAGGAGGAGGGTTCATCCACATTGGCGGTCAGCTCTATCCTGTACCCTGCCTGCCCCCCCCCGCCCATTTCCCCTGCTATGCTGCCATTCTCCGCCCCCCCCGCCCCTGCACCTCCTCCCTTCCCCGCCGCTGCACCTCCTCCCTTCCCCACCGCTCGCTCATCCCAACTCACCTCGCCCCCCAGCCCCTCCCACACCTCCCATCCTGCCCCCCCATCCCCACCCCCAACCCCAACCCCAATCCCACGCCCACGCCCTTGCTGTGCATCCGCGCCCCCACCCACGTTCCCAGTACCACCACCCTCTGTCTTGGCAGCAGCAGCAGCACCACCACCGCCACTTGCAGCACCCACACCCCCACCGCCTCCCCCCTGAGCAGCGCAGGCGTGCAAGCGAGAGACGAGGGGCTGCACGTTTGAGGGCTGCTGGAAGTACTGCAGCAGCAGCGACATGCCCACTGCAACCTGTGGGAACAGCTCGCGCCGCCGCTGCCAAACCGGCACGTCCGCCCTCACCCCCACACACGCCCGCGCCTCCTTCCCCTGCTCGTCCCCTTTGCACCGCCACCCCCCGTCTGCCTCTAACAAACTCTTTTCCTGCCTGCCCCGCTCCCCTCCCTCGCCTGTCCCTCCCCCGCCCTTCCTCCTCTCCTCCTCCCTCAGTCTGAGCGTCCCTCTCTCTTCTGCTGGCAGGTCTAGCTCGTCCCCGTTATAAGCACACTCTGTAAGCAGGCGCTGGCGCAGGGCGGAGAGGGAGGAGCGCAGAGCAGAGGGAGGAGGGTCAGGGGGGCGGGGAGGAGAAGAGGGGCAAGGGGGGGAGAGCGGGGGGAGCAGGGACTGCAGGTGAAGCTGCAGTGCGCGTTGATACTCCCCCCTGGCGGTATCAAATGTGTCTCTCAGTGCCACACACGCTGCTGCCCTCCCCCTCACGCCCCTCCATGCCACCCGCCGCCACTGCCCATCGCCCCCGCCCCACTCCTCCAGCCTCCCCCCCGCGTTGAGCCACGGCGAGGGGGAGCGTGGCAGTGAGGGGGAGGGGAGCGCGGAGGGGGGCAGCGCGGAGGGAGGCAGAGAGGCGTTGACAAAGAGTAGGCGCTCCCCTCCCAGACGTACGTGCTGACGGGGACAGGGAGAGCAGATGGAGCGGACGGAGGACAGAAAAGAAGAGAGAAAAATGTGGCGGGGAGGTGAGAAGAGGAGAGTGGAGAACAGATGGCAAAATGCAGAATGTGACGGGACAGGGAGCATTGAGAAACTAGGGAGCAGAGCACATGCAAATGCAGAGCAAAGCAGAGTGCAGAGCAGAGTGCAGAGCACAGACGCACGCACGTGGAAGAGAGAGGTAAAGAGCGACCAGCGGGAGAAGCGGTGGTGCAGCGGCAGCAGCAGCGACTGGTGCAGTCGCCCCCACGCCTGCTGCGCGTGCAGGTTCTGCTGCCGCTGCAGCAGCTGCCACAGCCGTGACTGCTGGGGCGAGGCGCTGCAGGGGGTTGCAGGGGCGCGTGGGGAAGCACAGGAGAGGGCGCGTGGGGGGAGGGGAAGGGGGAAAGGGAGAGAAGTGAGAGAGGGGGACGCACGGACCGGGGATGGCAGGATGGTGGGACGGATGGAAGATTACGAGGTGGGGAAAGAGAATGTGGTATGTGGCATGGGGATGGTGGGATGTAATATGAGCGATGGGGTGGGAGCGAGGGAGGGCAGTACCCGAGGGTGGTGCCTGCAGCAGCGGCAGAGAGGGGGGTTGCTTCGGAGGAGGTGCTATGATGGGCCTGAGGGGAGGGTGATGGGACGACGGAGGGTGTATGGAACGATGGGAGGAAGTGAGAGGAAAGAAGAAATGGTGCGGTGGAGCAAGCAGCATGGTGTGATCCGGCAGCACTATGTAGAATAGCACAACGGTGAAAGCAGAAACAGGCGGCATGGCGAGCGAAATGCTGACAGACTGGCATCACGACTCGCCACAGCAAGGCACGGCACGGCAAGGCACGGCATGGTACGGCACGGCAGGGCAATATAGAGCAGAAAATCGTACAAAGGGCGGCAGGAGGGCGAGCAGAGCGAGGGCCCCAGCGAGGAGCAGCGCGAGCAGCAGGGCGCGCGGGTTGGTGAGGAGCGGGTGGGCGATGGAAGTCGCGCAAGGGAGGCGCAGGTTGTAGGAAAAATGGCGAGGGGAGGTGGGGCGGGGGGAGAGGGGCGCTTGGGTCGAGTGACGCGGAGACACAGCTGCCCGCGTGGGGGAGCGTGGCGAGGTGGGCGCTGCGGACAGGTGATGAGTTGGGGTGAAGGGAGAGGAGGGAGGAAAGAGAAGGGAGAAGGAGAGAGTGTAAGTAGATGGTGAAAGTGGCAGCATGGCATGGCATGGGACATGGCCATGCGGGCGGCAACCGTTTGCCTCTCCCCGGGCCACCACAGCCAGCGGCTCACACCCCTGCGACCCACCACCGACCCGCTCACCCAGCCCAACCCATCCGCGTTTACTTTCCCCCTCACACACCCGCGCTAACTGCCCCTCGCCCCGCCCCACTTTTCCCGCACCACTCCCCTCCCCCGATCATACATCGTGCGCCTCTGCTGCGCGAATTCCCCCCGACGGCGCGCCCCTCCCCCGCCTCTACAATCTCGCTCCAATCCGCGGAGGCGTTCCCCTTGCTGCCCCTCGCGCCCTCCCGACGCCGTTCCCCCCGCCGCGGTCCGCCGCCGGCGGCCAAGATGGCAAGCGGCACGGCGGGCTGCGAGGGGGCTCTCATCGCTCGGGAAGGCGCAAGCGCGCGCTGGGAGCGATGACTCGCGGAAGGCGGAACGCGCGCGATTGGGATGCGCGCAAATTTGGGAGGAGAGACGAGGAGCGAGAGGAGGAAAGACGGTGCGGAAAAGCGAACCGCGGGAGTGGGAAAGGGGGCCGCGGCAAAGGGAGTCTACGGGAAGGGGAGCGGACGGAAAACGGGGAGGTGCGACGCGAGACGTGGCAGGGGCAGAGCGGGAAGTAGAGTGAGTGCATGCATGCTAGTGCTGTACTAAACTGTAAATCTGTACTAAAACTGTAAAAGGTGGGAAGATGTTGCATCAATAGTGGAAGTATTCTCACTACTATATTGTAGAAATCCAGAATAAATACAAGTCATATTTTTCTAATACCTTATGCTATGCTGGCAAACTAAGCTTTTGCCATCAAAACACGTATACAATCCATTGCAGTGCAAATCAGTGTGCAGGTGCTAAAAACAAACGCCGCCATTTCACCCATCTGCACTCCTCCACCCCTCCGCTCCACTCCCTCCACTTTGTCCATCCCTCCACTGCAACCCCGCACCACATCCAACACCCCATGCGTGCTGCTCTGCATAGCACATCACCTCTTCCTCTCCTCCACCATGCCTCAACCTTCCGGGCGCCATGCACACCCCTTCCTCCCCTCTATGGCGCCTCAGCAGCTGCTGCCCAGCACGCTACCTGCCCTGTATGATGCCTCAGTTGCGGGTGGCCTGGCTGCTTTGGGAGCCCTGCGAGCCGAGGACGATGGAGCACAGGAGGTGGTTGGTTGGCCTGACTGCCCTGGATGCTACCTCCCCTGGGAGATACCTGTCTGGGACATGCATCAGTTGCGGGAGGCCTGGTTGCCCTGGGAGCCGAGGATGATGGAGCGCAGGAGGTGATTGGGGGTGAGCCCCGGGTGGGGGAGGGGCTGGCCGGTGGAGGGCGAGAGGAGCGACGACGCCAGCCACGCCTCCATGTGGCGCCGCTCGTATGTGAACCCGTCCGCTGCTATCACTGGGTCCTCCATGCGTTGCTGCACGCAAGGGTGGGGAGGGAGGGAGGGAGGAAGAGGACAGGGGAAGCGAGTGAGTCAGACGGTAATTGAGGAGAGAGGTGAAGTGATGAGAGAAAGACAGGAGAGTGAGAAGGAAACGAGCCTGTGGTACTTGAAACAGCATCTAGACAGCACCCGACAGTACCGCAGCAGTACCTTGGACAGCGGGCAAACAAGAGTGCTTTCGAGGGCATCACTGCGCCGAGTTACATCGGCCCGGCCAGCAGCGGCCGCCTCGCTGAACGCGGGCACCACCTCCCCCGCCAGGTCCGCCCGCATGCGCGCATCCCGCTCCACACACCGCACTGCCACCCGCAGCACCCGCTGCGCCACGTCAGCAGGCCACGCGCCCGCCAGCGTGTCAAGGTGCGGCAGCAGGATGGCCACTGACTGGGGAAGGTCGCGTGTGGGCACAGCCGGCAGGGCGCTCCTGGGCGTCAGAGGCGGGTCGCAGTCGGCGTCGGTGCCAGCGGTGGCGTGAGGGGTGGTGGGGGAGGGGGGTGGTGGGGAGGAGATGGTGGTGGGGCAGAGGGCGAGCAGGCGGTGCACGTGCTTGGGGGAGTCGGCACCGGTGAGCAGCATGAGCGCCACCACCCCCAGCGCATACACATCGGAGGCGGGGGAGAGCTCGCCACATGCAATGGCCTCCGGGTCGATGAATCCCACGGTGCCACGCATGCGGTGTGTGGTTACCACCGTGCTGCCGTCCCGTAACAGGCATGCGAGCCCCACGTCCGCGATCTTGCTGGTGCCGTGCGCGTCGAGAAGGATGTTGTCGGGCTTTAAGTCGCGGTGCACGATGGGCGGCGAGCAGCGGTGCAGGTACAGCAGCGCCGAGGCCACCTCGGAGAGAATCCGCAGCCGGTCGTGCCAAGGCAGGGGGGATGGCGACAAGGCGATGGGGGAGGCGGGGGGGGAAGGGGACATGGGGGAAAGGGAGGAGAGCTGGCCGGAGGAGGAGGAAGAGGAGAAGGACGGCGACTTGCCGCCGCTGCTCCCTGCCTTCTCCTGCTCCTGCGCGCCCCGCTTGTGCTGCGCTGCCAGGCGGTGCTGCAGGCTCCCCCCCGCCATGAACTCATAGACAAGCGAGAGGTCCTGCGGACAGCACCCCATGAGCAGCACCACGTTGGGGTGCCGCACGCGGCTCAGCACCTGCACCTCGCGCTTGAACGCCTCTCGGCCCTCGCTGCGCGCGCGCCCCTCGCGCGCCCTTAGGCGCTTGACGGCCACGTCACAGCCGTGGATGGCCCCGCGGAACACGGGGCCATACGCACCCGACCCCACCAGGCGGGACGAGTGGAAGTTGTCGGTGGCGCGGGCGAGGTCTGCGGGGGTGAACACGCGCGACCGCTGCCCTGCTGGCAGCCGCGCCGGGCTCCTGCCGCTGCCGCTGCCGCTGCTTCTGCCGCTGCCGCCCGTGGGGGTGGTGGCGGTGCTGTGGAGGGGGCTGCCTGCTGCTGATGCAATGCTGGTAGCCGTGGGGGTTGTGGGGGTGGTGGGTGCAGTGGCGCGGGTGGGGGTGGTGGGAGTGGTGGGGGTGGTGGGAGTGGTGTTGCGTGTGCTGCTTGCGGCTCGCATGCCCGTGCTGCTGCTGCTGCTGAGCCTGTGGGAGGCATTGCTGCTCTGCCTGCTCAACCCTTTGCCGCCCTGACCCATGCCGCCCTGAACCATGCCGCCCTGCCCGCCGCTCTGCCCCATGCCGCCCTGCCCCATGCCGCCCTGCCCGCCGCTCTGCCCCATACCACCCTGCCGCATGCTACCCTGTCGTTTGAGCGCCGCACTGCCCTGTCTCTGCAGAACCACGCCGCTGCTGCTGCCGTCAACGCTGCGCCGCCCAATCACCACGCTGATGCTGTGACTGCCGCCCACGCTGCTACCCACCATACCACCGCCGTTGCTGCTAGCACTGGCAGTGCTGCCTTGCTGCGCGCGCTGGGGGAAGCGCAGGGAGGCGGAGGAGGAGGAGGAGGCGGGGGGCGGCATGAGGGCGCCCGTGAGGATGGCGTCTGTGAGCGCCGCGTCTTCTGCCAGCAGCCGCGCACGCGCCACCTCCATGCTCGCACTCCTCCCGCCTATGCTGCCCCTCATGCCCGTACTGCCTACGCTGCCTGCTCCTGTTGCTGGCCGCCGCACTCCCCCCATGCCCGGTTGTCCCTGCCTCCCCGCCCCTGCTACCCCCCTCCCCCCCGCCGCCGCTGTGCCTGCGCGCATGTTCGGATTGATCCAACTGCCGCTCATGCTCCCCCCCATGTTTGTCCCCATGCCCCCCCCCATGCTCCCGCCTGGGTTTCCGCCTGTGTTTCCGCCTGCGCTCCCGCCCACGCTCCCCCCAGGTCGCCCCCCCGGGGCAGCAGCGCAGGGCGGGCGCGCAGCAGAGGAGATGGAGCTGCTGGTGCGCGCGAGGCGCGCGGACGATTGGCCGGGGCGAGGGACCTGGCAGGCGCAGCACGGGGAGAATGATGGGGAGGGGAGGGTGAGACGGATGTGAGATGCAGAGGAAGATGTAACTTCGAGGGGATTGCAGAACGCATGGTGTGGCGTGCGGGGCAGTCACAGCGGGCGCGCATGGGCAGTCACAGCAGGCGCGCATGGGCAGTCACAGCAGGCGCGCACGGGCAGTCACAGCGGGCGCGCATCACAGCGGGCGCGCATGGACGAAACATACCCAGGGAGCGGGGGAGGGCGGGCGCTCAAGCAACGTGGTGGACGCACCCCCGCCACCATCCCCGCTGGCACCATCAACGCCACCACTGCCGCCAGTATGCGCGTTCACCTGCTGCTCTCCAATCCCCCATCCCTCCCCGCTCTCCTCGCCCGCCCCCCCTGCTGCCCCCTCCCACGCTCGCTGCCTCTCACTCCCCTCCCTTCCCGCTCCCCCTTCGCCCTGTCGCTCCCCTGCGCCCGCCGCCCGTCTACCCGCGCTGCTGGCGGCGCCCGCGCTGCCCGCGGTATTGGCGGCGCCCAGGCGAAGCGGACCCGAGAAGGAGCTGGCGGCAGGCGCGGGTGCTGGGGGGTTCACTTGGGCGGGCAGTGGCACGGAGTGGCGCGGCAGGGAGAGCGAGGAGCGCGATAGACGGCTGGGATTACGCTGTAACGGCACGGACGGGGGAGAGGAGGGGACGGGGGGAAAGTGAGGGGAGAGGAAAGTGGGGGGAAAGGCAAGGAGGGGAGAGGGGAAGGAGAGGGAGACATGGGGGAGATGAGGTCCGTGGGGGCGGGGGAAGGGGACTGGAGGTACAGACATGGCTGAGGAGCAAGGGTGTGCACGTGGGGGCGAGAGTGCGGCGCACAGAGTGGAGACGCCAGCAAAAGGGGGGAGGGGAAGGGGAAAGGGAGCCGGGAGGGAGGGGAGGCGCAGCAGCAGCAGCAGCAGCAGCAGGGACTCACCTCGTCCGCCCACTGCTCTCTGGTGGGCGACCGTCGGCTCACCACGCGTCTCTCCAGCCCGCTCACTCGCACGCCCCGCTCCCGCGCGCCCTTCTCCCTTGCGCCCTCCCCTTCCCCCTCCTCCTCCCCCTCCCCCGCCCCGCTCTCCTCCCCGCTGTCCACGCCCAGCGCCGCCAATTCATCCATCAACCACCGCCGCGCCGCCGCCGCCGCCACCACCTCTCGTGCTTTCTCGCCCTCCCCCTCGCTCGGGCAAGGCGCCTCTTTCCTCCCCTTGCCCTCCTCCCCGACCTCCCCCTTCCCGCCCGCCACTGGCCCCTTGCGCCCACCCTCCCCCTTTTCCACCTCCCGCACCTGCACCACCAGCTGCCGCCCTGCCATCTCCCGCTCCCCTTTCTCGCGCTCCTCGCTCACCCCTTCCCCTGTCACTCCTGCCGCGCCACCTCCGCTCCACGCCCCATGCGGAAACACTTCCCCGCCCCATATGAGCGCGCCAGGTGCCGCGCCCGCGGAGGTGGAGGGATCCGGGGAGAGCGATGCGCGGATGGGGGAGACGGCGGCGGAGAGTGAGGCGGAGAATGTGTGAGGCGAAATGGGGGAGATGGGGAGCACGGAGGAGGAATGCGCGGAAGGGGGAACGGCGGGGGAGCGGGCGGAGGAGGCTACAGCGACGGCGTCGAGAACGCTGCGGCAGCCCTCGCTGCCGCCGCGCTTGAGGTGGCGGCGCTGGAACAACCCGCCCTTGGCGCGCTCCTTCACCACCGGCGGAGGCGCGGCGGGGAGCGGCGTGGCGGCGGGGAGGCGGGGAGCGCGCGGGAGAGACCAGGGGGATCGGGGGGCCGTGAGGGTCGACGGGGAAGGAGAAAGAGAAGGAGGAGTGGTGGCGGGGGAGTGGTATGCTGTCACGCCTGCACTAGCACCTGCTGCGGCTGCTGCTGCAGGATTGACAGGCATATTCTCTTCACCATACCTGCCGCTGATACTGCCACTGCCTGACCCTGTTACGCGCTGTGCGGCGTGCGGAGGGGTGGCGGGCGCGGTGGCCGCGCATGGAGCCGGCATGGGGGCACCCGGGGGAGCGGAGACGGAGGGGGGGATGGCGTGGCCTGGGGGCGACGGCCCTATCGGCATGGTGTGGCTGGCGGGTACGAAGGCGGGGTAGGCGGGGGGCGGGGAGGAGAGGGGCGACGGCATGCCGTGGCCTGCGCTGAGAGAGTGAGGCGAGCGCGGAGGGACGGACGGGGACGGGGACAGGGGCGCGGGCGCCGCCTTCCCCAGCAGCCACTGCGTCAGCTGCGAATCCACCTCCGCTGCCTCCACCCATGCCTCTCCGCCGCCCACTCCCGCTAACACACCCTGCCACCGCTCACGCTCCCCCTTACCCTGCCGCTGCTGCACCCCTTGCTGCGGCTGCAGCTGCTGCTTCCCAGGTTGCGACCACCCTTGCGTGGCGGCACCCAGCAGCTGCATTGGCCCCGACCGCGCGCCCCCTGCCGACTGCCCAGCGCCGCCTGCCTGTCTCACTACTCCGCCCTCTCTATCCTGCTCGCCACCCGTGCCCCCGCGAATCCATCCCGCGCCCTCCCCTCCTCTCCGCCCCTGCCCCGCACCGCCAGCAGCACCGCGCTCTGCTGGCGGCACAGCCGGCAGTGGCCCACTCCTTGAGTTCCCTGCCCCCGACTGCCTATCCGCTAACGTGGGTCCTGGCACAGGCTGTTCCCGCTCAGCACTACGAGTCGCGCCGCTGCCGTCGTGCGCCCCTCCCCCCGCGCGGCGCTGCAGCGGCATGGCGGAGTTCTGTAAGCGCCACTGCGCACTTCCGCCGTTCCCCCCCGCCACCCTTCCATCGCCTTCCCCCAGCCCCACCCTGTCACCGCCGTCGCCTCTCATTACCGCACCGCGCTCCTCCTGCGCCCTACGCATCCGCTCAGCGGAAGCAATCTCCCCCGCTGATCCTGCGCCGCTTCCGCCTGCTTCTCTCCCCATCCGTTGCGCCTGCCCCTGGCCTTGCCGCATCGTCGGCCCCTGTGCGGTCGGCTGCTGCGGGCGCGGCCGTGCGATAGCAGCGGGGACACTTCCACTCCGAGCCCACCCGCGCCGTCCTCCCTCCTCGCCCAAAGCGCCACGTGCAGAGCCAGCAGCAGCAGCGCCACCACCACCACCACCACGACCGTCACTACTAGCAACACCACCAAAACTAACACCAACAACACTACCAGCAGCACCGCCGTCACCAGCTGTCGTGGTGTGAGAGAGCGACGGGAACAGGTCGCCGTGGAAGTCACTGGCGCCTGCCACCGCCGTTAACCCTTCGCGCCCGCCACTGCCGTCGCGGAGGCCTGCTCCCCCCCGCCCCACCTCACCGACCGCCCCCCCGCTTATTCTCGCCCCGTCGGGCTGATGGCGCGCGGAGGCGGTCATGATGAGCGCGCACTGGGGGGGCAGCAGCGCGCGGATCAGCGCAGGCGACGGGGGAGGCGCGAGGGCTGCGCGGGGCGATTCTGCTGCCTGTGAAGCTTGGCAAGCGGCGGATTCGGCGGAAGATTCAGCGGCGGAGTCCACGGAGTTGGATGCGGTGAAGAGGTTGGATGGCAGGTACACGCGCGCGGCGTCGAAGTGGCGCGCAGCAGCACACACGCCGTGCACACGCTGCTGCTGATGTGGCAAACGTGAACTGCTAGCTCCGCCCTGCGACGCTGCCCTTTCCACGTGGAAGGCGGCCAGCACCTGCGAGATAACGTGGGTGGCGGGGCACAGGGGCCGGGAAGAGGGAGAGCGTAAGCGGGAGGGGTAGAGGAGGCGTGGGGGGAAGGAAGGAGAGCATCAGAATGTGACGCCCGTTGGCGCGGGGACGGGAAATGAGACGAACGTGACAGAAATGCGAGCAGCGGGGAGGTTTTCCTGGCAGGATTCACCTTGACCCGCGTGACGCACCTTGACCCGCGTGACGCACCTTGACCCGCGTGACGCACCTTGACCCGCGTGACGCACCTTGACCCGCGTGACGCACCTTGACCCGCGTGACGCACCTTGACCCGCGTGACGCACCTTGACCCGCCTGACACACCTTGACCCGCGTGACGCACCTTGGCTCGTGTCGCTCGCTGCACCAGCGGTCGGAGCACGCGCTGCACCACCCACGCCTCAAATCCTTCCTCCCCCTCGCGCTCGCCGCCTTGCTTCCCCTCCTCCCCCCTATCCCCTTCGCCGGGAATTCTCGCGGCCGACGATGGCACCACCGCCACCAGCACCAGTACCACCTGCGACGTGGCTTGTTGCCGAGCCACGTCAGCAACGGCGCGCTGCACCACAGTCCACGCGTCCTCAACGCATCGACCCAGTGCCGCCGTCGACTCGCGGTCGGTGGCGTTGAGAGCGGTGGACAGAGGCACTTCCACCACCCAGCGACGCCTGGGCGAATCGCCGGGCGGCATGGTGCGCTTGGCAGAAGCGCGGAGCGGCAAGGCGAGGCTTAGCAGTCGGCGGGTCAAGTGGCCTCCGCGCGATTCCGCGACTGCTCCCTGCTGCTGGGGGGAATGGTGCTGCGAGAGCTGCGCGTGCTGGTGCAAATGCGTGTGGTCTATCGGCGGAGCTGCACACGTGGCGACGTCCGCCATTGCAAACGAACCATGCGCGGAGGTGAGATGCTGAGTTGAGCGACGGTTAGTGAAGCCACGAAATCTAGGGTTTGAAACGGAGGCAGGAGCTGGAACTGGTGGAGGAGAGATGAAGTGCGAACAACCAGCTCCATTCACGAAGTCGCGCTGGCGAGCTCACTGTGCCTGGTGATCTCGGGGGAGGAATTTCTCGAACTTCCCTGTGCTTGGACAAGATTCCGCAGGGCCCAGGTCGGAGCAGGCTAACGGGCAAACCCAAACTAGAAGTGTGAGGTGAAGAGTGGAAAGCCAAGCCATCCACGTCCCGTAAGGAAAACAGGACCACCAGAAAATTCCAAGGCTGCTGGAATACGTGTGTGCACTGTGCATGGCAGCTAGCATGGGAAGGATAGAGGCGTGATGCTGGTGATTCGCATCGGTTTTGAAACTTCCTCATTGTGCTGTTTCGCATTGTCCATGTTTGTGCACAGTTCAGTGCTGACCCAGGGATCATCGCACTCGCAACGCAATCAACACGGAATTTGCGGAACGAGGTGAGGAATTCAGTGCCTGCCTGCGGAAGGAATTCGAGGTGCCTATGCCGGGTAACCCGTCCATGCTGCATGTCCACGATTACGAGTGGAGGAGAGTTGTTTTTCCGTGCCACCCTGGCACGCCAATGTGGCAATGCCTTTGGTTTTTCCCCCTCAATTGAAACCTCTGTTACACGTGCCAATGATTATGATCGCGGCTAAAAGCTGCCGGAATAGTGATACGATCGAATCCTATTGAACTGTAACGAATTTCCCTACTTCCCTCGCAAGTGGTTAGATTGGATGGGACCAAAACCGCAAAAAACATACACCAACCAACCCCACACCAGTCTTCTCTCCCATTGCACAACCCTGATTGCTAAGGGGGTGTCCTTTTTCCAAAATCTCTGAAAGTCCGGACGTACGTCCGGACGCGTGCTACATCGCACAGTCGTTACGCGACGCAAGCGACGACGTATGGATGCAATACGACGCATGGGACGTCGCTTAGTTCCTGACGAATTGGTTGGCGAGCTTTAACGACTTCGATAACTACACAACCGTCCGGACGGTCGGGGGGAAAAAATGCACGCCTTTAGGGAATGTACACTTCTGACTTTATCTAAACTGCTTAGGCTTGAAGGCACAACAAACATACCCATCTGGCCTTCTAGGGAAGACTGTGAAACACTCCTCGGGTTGGCCGAATGGAGGAGAAATGCAGTGACCACGTACAAGGCTTTGCTGAAAAAATCAGATGCATTGTACTTCCTCGTCCATGTCGTCCAGGCCCTGATACATTACGGTACGCCCCTCTGGTATACACCCTTCGCTTTTCAGTCTTGGCCTACAAGTCCGCCCGGATGTGAATGCAATAAGAAACTACAATCTCCGTAGAACCTTCATCCTCTAAAAGTTGCTTCGATTGAAATGTTACTTTCACCGAGATGTTGTGAGGCGTTATGGTCGTAAGAGTCGTGTCTGGGAAACATGTGCCCAATCCTTTTTATGAAGAGGAGTTCGCCCAGAGACCCAATCCTCCTGCCTGGGTTGAGCAGCCGTAAGGCTCGTAAAAACATATGACCACTGGTTGGATGCGTGGGCAACTGAAAAGACAGTGATCCACTGGCTCAACCCCTCAACATCGCAGGCAGCATGTGTTGCCTTACAGGAGGAACATCCTCTTGTCAAAGTTTACGTACATCTTTATATAAAAATCCCTTCAACATAATCAGTGCACATTCCAACTGTTGGTGGTTTACCACTTCGCCCTCCCCTTGCTTTACTTTTTTTTTTTTTACCTTCTACCCTATATTGCCCTCTTTTCTCTTCTCAATCTCCTATCCCTTCAACCTTCCTGGTTATTACTTCGACATGGTATTCAGAGCATTGGCTCATCCCCCCCCCCCCCTCCCTTCCCCCTCTTCCCCCCCGGTCCTCCAATGGCGCGCACCCGTCTTGTGATAGCAGCTCCGTCGTGCGCGCCCTACCCATTGCACAACCTGTTGCGGCCTCGTCGCGGCCCCTCCTCGATAGCCCCGTCGACTTGTCAGAAGTGTAAGACAACAGAATGATTAACACAAGGGCATACATTGTTCATATCAGCAATATTGTATTCACTCTTGATTACTTCACTCTGAGCAACCTAGGACAACATAATATATTTCGAGTATAATTTGACACACCTATTGGGCTAGGTAAAGGCGGGAACTATACAACAAGCTCTGTGCGGAACCGCTGATGATCACAAGGTTGAAGTACCTTGGTGAAGATATCAGCAGTGTTGACCACTGAGACCACTGGTACCACGCGTGTTTGGCTGTGTTGCTGCAACTCTTGCTTTAGGAAGCACCGCAACTGAACGTGCTTCGCCCTCCCTACTAGTCGAGGCTCCTGACACAGGAGTATCGTGGCCATGCTGTCGGCGAATATGACCAATGTAGAGCGAGGCGGCTCACCAAAGTCAGTGAGCAGAAAGGTGAGCCAGTAGAGCTCCTAAATAGCCATAGCACCGATATCTGCCTCACAGTTGGACACGGCAGCTGACAACAGTCGACTTCAACGAGACAACTCGAGAAGCAAGGCTAAAACAATAGCGCTGTGAAGACCTCCAACTCTCGTCGTCGTTCGCCCACGACGTGCCATTGAGCTTGGTGAGGCTAACTGGTTTTTTCCCCCCCAAGCACAGGCCACATGCCTGACGTGCTTACCAGATAGCGCATAACCCTCTTAGCGGCCGACTGGTGAGCGGGTCGGTGTCTTCCAGTCGCCACAAAGCGAGCAAGGATTCTGAGAGGGTATGCAAGATCTAGACGAGTGCAAGGCATCTGGTACAAGAGGCACACCACCAACTCTGCGTACTGACCATTAGGCTCAGCAGGCTCGTTGGGAATACGAGCCGTGGGCCCATGGTCGACAGTAAGAGATGTAGCATGTGGAGAAGAGGATTGAAAGTCGAACCGTTCGAGAATCTGCTCCACCATGTGTGACTAAGTCAATGTGATGGTGTGTGCTTCTCTGTCCCGAGTGATCTGCAAGCCGAGATAGCAATGCAGCTCACCCATGTGAGTGGATATGTGACTCCTCTGCAGTAACGCCTTCACTAAGGCCAGTGAGTAGCAAAGACGAGGGCGTCGACATAGGGAAGAACGTTGAACGGCGACGAGCCACAGGGGACAAAGAGAGAAGGGCCAGAAAAGGACAGAGAGAAACCAAGAGGAGCGAGCGAAGTTTGTAACGTGGAGCCTGACGCATATTTTAGTCAGGCTGTCGAAGGTTGCACTAGGTGCCAAAGGGGGACGACCTAGTGAAACCACGAGGGCCGCGCAGCCAGATCTGCTCGTAAAGATTGCCTTGAAAGAAAGCAATGGAGAAGTTAAGTTATTGGAGCTTGTTGTCACGCCGTCCTGCGATGTGCATCAACATCCGAAAATTTGTTATCTTTGGGGTGGGAAAAAAGGTCTGGAAAAAAAAATACCCCCTCTCTTTGACTGGATTGTAAGACAGCAGAATTACTAATTCAAGGGCATATATTGTTCATGTCAACAATGTTGTACTCATTACAGGCAGTTTCAAATTTCAATCTGTGAAACATAGTATAACAATATATATGACAGATACAGTCTAACATCATCCACCCGTCACGCCCTGTCGCGGGTCGTCGCGCTCCATTGAGAAATGGACAAAAATGTATGATAATGCGAGCATTGGAGGAAAGGCTGATACGAGATGAAAATCGCTAGAGCGCAGCTGAAGCTTGAGAAAGATAACGACGTCCCTGCGGCAGGGCTATGGCCACTAAGAGGTAGCTCTTCTGGCTTGTAACGTGGTGCCAAAGCGATGGCCGATGATAGGCGAGACATATGGATGAGAATTGTTTAATAGTAGCATGGCATTACATTGAGTTATATAGCAAACAGATCAGACATGTGGTTATCGCAACGCAATTGTATAACGGTTGCGTTGCGCCGCTTCAGTTGCCATGTTACAGTCGCGCTGGCGTGACTGTTCAGCTTCGGCAAAGGTGCGGTATTCTGCCGCGCCCTGCAGGACGGTTACCGGTACGCGTACAGTACAGCCTGCCCACTGTCGAATTGACTCCTTAGCTGCCACAAAAGTCGCAACCGCTGTGCACGGTTGCACCCATGTAGCTCGCCACCAGGGTCAACACCTTTGATATAGCGAGTTCTAGAAAGGCATAGTGCCAACGTTGCGGAAACGTATTTGTAGAAATGACACGTTAGAAAGCTTGCATTCGAAAGGATTGATAGTTGAATTGTAGAATGATGCTGAAGAAGTGGCACAGCAGGGCATTTATGCATCCATCTACCTCTTCCTGGATGACCCCATTCACATCAATAATAACGTACCAATAATTATACCCTCCAACAATGCTAGACCCCGTCACTACAATAATTGTGACAATTATTATATGACCTGGAGTGGAGACTTATACAGGGAACTATAATAAAACCGAACAGCATACCGATATGTATTATTCGTTATATTGTGTTCGGATTTCCAACAGCGAGCCCCATTACTACACTTTGAATAGTGCAGTTTAATATAAAAATCGTATAATCATATTCGTAATAAGGTCCTTATGTTTTTGAACGAAAACAACATTATTTTAATATTGTATAGTTCTAACTAATTATGCACCTCTTTAAAAGGTACATTTTGTGATGACTATCTTGATTCTTGAAATGTAGCTGTTATACATTCGGCAATTTAAATGTCGGATATGTTTTCCACCACTAGGCTTCATATCTTTATCATCCATAATTTAATTAACATTGTTTTTTACTGTACATTGTATTAGGCTGCGATTGTCCCTCCAGCAGCCTGCCCTCAACCAAACACGATAACGCTAAAGCGACGTAATCCTGGCCGTCCGTTGACCTCCTCGACTAGGCTGGAAGAGGGTTTATCGCTCATAAGCTGTCTCTCTCTGTCTCCCCTCTTCCCTCTCCCCTCTCTCCCTCACCAAACCCTCTATTTCCCGCCTAATCGCATCTTCTACTCTCCTTTTGGTCAGGCAGAAATCCTTAGGAGGTATCGGCACGACCGGCCACCATGGGTAATCTCTCTCCCTTACGGGTCGGAATTTTGCTAAGGTCCTTTTTAGCCGTCGAATGAAGGTTCTACTCCACCATTCGTCCCTTAACAGTTTTGCGGAACCAGCAAACCCTAGTTTTGCCAACAGTATCGTCCTGCCTCATGCGTGCACGGGGCTGTGTGCGTGCGTGCGGTTGTGCATGGCAGGAGCGTACAAGTACGTGTCGGAGTTATGGAAGAAGAAGCAGTCAGACGTCATGCGCTTTCTGCTGCGCGTGCGCTGCTGGGAGTACCGCCAGCTGCCCTCCATCATCCGCGTCTCGCGCCCCACTCGCCCTGACAAGGCTCGCCGCCTCGGATACAAGGCCAAGCAGGTGCGCGTCCGTCGCCTCGCCTGCCATTGCCGCTTAAACCCAGCTGCCACTCGGCGCCTTACCTCTTTCGTCGGAGCCGTGATGCTTAACTGTGGCCCGGAGCCGAGAAGCTTCGTTCTGCGGCATTCCGTCCGCCTGATCTCTTTGTGTCGTGACATGCTGCTCTCTCTGCCGTTTTGATGTTCCGCCTCGCCTTCCCCGCGCGCGTGATCCCAAGGCGCGCTCCCCGTTCGCCTCGCGTGCCGTCACAGAAGCGCCAGTCGTTCTCGCCTGTGTCAGCTATGCGCCCCTTTATGCGAATCATGAGATTCAACTGGTTCTAGACACATGCGCCGGTGATCCGCGAAGCGGCATAGATTCGCCGCTCGCACGGCGCCCAATTTGATCCAACATGTCAGCGCATTCCTCGAGGGCACCCGGCCTGCGTGACGATGCGGCTTGCAGCAGCGTGCCATTCTTTCGGGGGCAAGCGGCACGATCATCTCGTCCTGATTCTGTTAGAATTATCTAGTTATCGTCGCGTCGCGCACAGTCTACGGGCGGTGCAATACGGTCTGCATGGACCTAGATGGATCGCTGCATGGTTTACACTCCGTATCGTGCAGCCACGTGTCGCCCTTCACTGATCCCTCATTCCCGATCAGTTTTCGTTGCTCCACCCTCTCTTGCCCATCTTACCAGCCATCTAACCCGTGTCCCCCTCTCCCCGCGCTCCCCGCTCTCCCCGCTCCCTGCCTCCCCGCTGTCCCCGCTGTCCCCCGTGTTGTGACGCGTGGGTGCGCGCAGGGCTACGTGGTGTACCGCGTGCGCGTGCGCCGTGGCGGCCGCAAGAAGCCCGTCGCCAAGGGTATCGTGTACGCTCTCGAACCCCCTCGCCCCCTCGCCCCCCCGCCCCCTCGCCCTCTCGCCCCTTCCCCCCCGCTCCCCTCCTGCCTCCTCCGTGCCGCGCGCTTGTTTCCTAGAAAATGTTCTCCTCATGCGGTCGCTCTTGGCTTCTCTACTACTCTCTCGTTGCACCTCCCCAGCTTCACCCTCTTTCCCCGTTTCCATTCTCCCCCACTCCGTCCGTCGCGCGTTCACTGTCCGACCGCATCTGCCGCGTGATGCGGTGTACGCGCGTCGCGTTGTGGTGTGCGCGCGTCATGTTGTAATTGTGCGCGCGTGGCGGCGGCAGGTACGGCAAGCCGAAGAGCCAGGGAGTGACGCAGCTCAAGTTCCAACGCAACAAGCGCGCCGTCGCGGAGGAGCGCGCTGGCCGCCGCCTGGGGGGACTGCGCGTGCTCAACTCCTACTGGGTCAACCAGGTGCGCTGTGCGCGCGCGCGCGTGTGTGGGGTGGGGTGGGGGGGAGGTGTAAGCGGTGGAGTGAGGGTGGGCCATGGTGTTTGTGTGTGTGCGTGTGTGTCTCCGCGCCCGCGCTCGCTTGCCCTTGAGCCCACCACTGCCCACACACTAAAGCACACCCTCTGTTCCCCCTCACAACAACCCCACGCACGAACTGAGTGTAGGTGAAACAAACGCCCGCAGCTGTCTTCCATGCAACGCCCACCGCACGCCACCCTCACCCCACCCTCCATCCCCTCCTCTCTCCCCTTTTATCACCCGCTTTCTCCTCCCCCCCCCCTGCCCCGTCCCCCCCCCCCCCCCCCCCCAACGCACATCCCCCACTTCCCCAACCTTTTCTTCCCTTCCCCACTGTCCGCTTTTTCTCCCCCCACCCGTCCCCGCACGGCGCCAGGACTCGGCGTTCAAGTACTACGAGGTGATCCTGGTGGACCCGCACCACCAGGCCATCCGCAACGACGCGCACATCAACTGGCTGTGCCGCCCCGTCATGAAGCACCGCGAGCTGCGCGGCCTCACGTCCGCCGGGCGCCACCACCGCGGGCTGCTGCGCAAGGGGCACAAGAGCACCAAGAACCGCCCCTCCGTGCGCGCCTTCTGGAAGCGCAACACCATGCTCTCGCTGCGCCGCTACCGGTAGATGCGTGCACGGGGCAGCTCGGGGGTGGGGTAGGGCAGATAGCAGGGGAAGATGGAGGTACAGAGTGGCGGTGCCAGGTGGTGATGGGGAAGTGTGCAGATGGTGCCTGGATGAAGGAGAGGTCATGTTAGATTGCTGCTGGATCGGCTTGTCTCTGTTGTTACTACAAGTTGCTTGCTGTGAAGTATATTCACAAGCTCTTGCTCTCTAGCACTGTATTGCTTGCTTCCTATGGAGATGCAAGGCAGGCACACAACCAACACAGAACGGAACAATTACCACAGCCAACCTGAATTGACTCTTCACTGCTAGACAGGGCACGCACCCCAGACCAGGGCTAATTTTATCAGGGTTGACAGGGCCTCAGATGTCAGGAATTTTACCCTGAATTCCTGAAGTTTGTGTTGGAAACAATCAGTCTTAAGCGCCTCTGTCGTGTCGAAACACCAAGACACAAGCGAAGCAAAGCATATCGAGGCACCAGCGAGTCAACCCTCGGAGGTTGAAGTAACCGCTGGAAGTTACGCGAAAGTCAAAGGTCAGCGACCTTTGACCTGACAAATACAGCGCGACAGCAAGGACACACAACTGACTTGCTACAGAGCAGTTGCCCGAGTCGTCACTGTATCGAACCGCAACAGCAACAGTAAAACAGTTATAACCGTATCCCTTCATATTCCTTGTACTCTTATATAATCTTGTATCTCTTTGTCTTAATCAACTTACTTTGCCCTCACATACTAGCGCAAGGTGGTTCACAATCTCTTCACTAAACGCTTCCGCTATTACAGTCCTACCCAGAGTTCATCCCTGTAAAAGATCCTAAGGGCTTTCTCAGCTCCAACAGTCTGACCCCCGTTTTTTATCATGACCCTGATGCATCAGCCTTTTTTTTTCAACGACCCTGATGTTTCAGTGTTTTTTAATTTCGAACTCTGATTTTCCAGTGTTTTGTGTTTGAGGACACTGACGAGTCAGTGTTGTATCGGGGTCTACCCTGAAACCGAAAACTCCTTGTTTTGGCGCGCCGTCACCGTGCACCGTGCACCAAGGGGATTTCTGGCGAAACATGCTCTGACAGGGCGAATCTCTTGTGTGAGGGGCGAATCTGCTACTGTGTCAGGGCAAATCTGCTGTGATTGGGCGAATTTGCTGTGCTGCGACAGCGCGTAACGACTGTGCGAGGTCGATTTTTTTGTCAGGGCGAATCTGCTGTGACGAACCAAGTCCGAATCAGGCCCTCAGATATCAAGAAAAAAACCCTGAAATTCCTGATTTTCAGGGTATTTTTTTGTACCTACCCTGATTTCTCAGTGTTCAAATTTTAGAGAGACTGATATTTCAGCCTTTTTTTCTCTAAGGGGACTGATTCTTCAGCCTTCTATCGAAGTGCACACTGAATGCACATTCCGAATCCCAGCTGTAAACACCCGAGATTACCAGTTGTGGACCATTTCTTTAATAGTATAGTGACGATATTAAGAAAATTTACACGACGACAGGTTAAACTGTCTCAGTTGTTAGTGGATTTCGCTTTCGAAGGATAAGGAAAATAGTATTCGAATCTTGCGACTCGACATGAATTTTATTGCATATTCCGATGGCCCATGGTCAAATACACCTACCAGAGCAACTTTAGCTTGGTTTGCGCGCACATAAAAGTTCGGCGATCGCGATGATGGCAGCTTCAGCCGACAAATGGTAAGGAAGCGCATGGATCCCTATGGGCGTAGGGAAAATCATCGAACGACATGAATGTTATTGTATATTCCGATGGCCCATGGTCAAATACACCTACCAGAGCAATTTCAGCTTGGTTTGCATGCATAGAAAAGTTCGGCGATCGCGATGATGACAGTTTTAGCCGACAAATGCTAAGGAAACGCATTGATCCCTATGGGCGTAGGGAAAATGATCGAACGACCTGAATGTTATTGCATATTCCAATAGCCCATGGTCAAATACACCTACCAGAGCAATTTCAGCTTGGTTTGCGCGGATAGAAAAGTTCGGCGATCGCGATGATGACAGTTTTAGCAGACAAATGCTAAGGAAACGCATGGATCAATATGGGCGTAGGGAAAATCCTCGAACGACCTGAATGTTATTGCATATTTCGATGGCCCATGGTCAAATACACCTACCAGAGCAATTTCTGCTTGGTTTGCGTGAACAGAAAAGTTCGGCGATCGCGATGATGGCAGTTTCAGCCGACAAATGCTAAGGAAGCGCTAGATCCCTATGGGCGTAGGGAAAATCATCGAACGACATGAATGTTACTGCATATTCCAATGGCCCATGGTCAAATACACTTACCAGAGCAATTTCAGCTTGGTTTGCACGCACAGAAAAGTTCGGCGATCGCGGTGATGGCAGTTTCAGCCGACAAATGCTAAGGAAGCGCATGGTTCAATATGGGCGTAGGAAAAATCATCAAACGACATAAATGTTATTGCATATTCCGATGGCCCACGGTCAAATACACCTACCAGAGCGATTTCAGCTTGGTTTGCGCGCACAGAAAAGTTCGGCGATCGCGATGATGGCAGTTTCAGTCGACAAATGCCAAGGAAGCGCATGGATCCCTATAGGCGTAGGGAAAAAGATCGAACGACCTGAATGTTATTGCATATTCCGATGGTCCATGGTCAAATACACCTACCATAGCAATTTCAGCTTGGTTTGCGCGAACTGAAAAGTTCGGCGATCGCGATGATGGCAGTTTCAACCGACAAATGCTAAGGAAGCGCATGGATCCCTATGGGCGTAGGGAAAATCATCGAACAGCATGAATAGTTTTGCATACTCCGATGGCCCATGGTCAAATACACCTACCAGAGCAATTTCAGCTTGGTTTGCGCGCACGGAAAAGTTCGGCGATCGCGATGATGGCAGCTTCAGCCGACAAATGGTAAGTGTCAGAGTTATATGACATAGCTACTGTAGGCTATAGTGGGGTAGCACATATGGGGTACAGTTGCCTAGGGTTTGCCTTTTGTACCCAACTTTCACTTAGTCATTTCATTCCTGTTTTCTTGATTCACATGGTATAGAGCGGGTTCCTACATGGGACCGTTCCTTCCTAAGGGCCCACCATAAGATTTTTTTTTTTAGCTGCCCGCGCACATTGCGCCCTGCCCTAAATTTTTTTTTTAGCGGCCCCTACGCTGCCCCTACGCGGCCCCTACGCCGCCTCCCACGCGCCCCCTATGCGGCCCCTGGCGGCGCCCTGACGAGGCCCCTGCCGGCGCCCTATCGCGGCCCCTGACGCGCCCCCTGGTGGCGCCCTGACGCGGCCCTGACGCGGCCTGACGCGGCCCCTGGCGGCGCCCTGACGCGGCCCTGCCGCGGCCCCTGACGCGGCCCTGACGCGGCCTGCCGCGGCCCCTGACGCGGCCCTGACGCGGCCTGCCGCGGCCCCTGCCGCGGCCCTGAAGCGGCCCCTGACGCGGCCCTGACGCGGCTCTGCCGCGGCCCTGACGCGGCCCTGACGCGGCCCTGCCGCGGCCCCTGGCGGCGCCCTGACGCGGCCCCTGACGCGGCGCCCTGACGCGGCCCCTGCTGCGGCCCTGACGCGGCCCTGCCGCGGCCCCTGACGCGGCCCTGACGCGGCCTGCTACGGCCCCTGCTGCGGCCCTGAAGCGGCCCCTGACGCGGCCCTGACGCGGCTCTGCCGCGGCCCTGACGCGGCCCTGACGCGGCCCCTGACGCGGCCCCTGCCGCGGCCCCTTCCGCGGCCCTGACGCGGCCCTGCCGCGGCCCCTGGCGGCGCCCTGACGCGGCCCCTGACGCGGCGCCCTGACGCGGCCCTGCCGCGGCCCCTGACGCGGCCCCTGCCGCGGCCCCTGACGCGGCCCCTGACGCGGCCCCTGTCGCGGCCCCTGACGCGGCCCCGCCACCTACCTTTCCGGCCACGCCGCCTCCTCTCAGCGGCCCCGCCGCCTCCTCCCAGCGGCCCCAGACGCCGCCCTCTCAGCGGCCCTGCCGAGCCGCCCAGCAGCCTAGCCGCCCAGCAGCTGAGCCACCGAGCCGCCCAGCAGCCGAGCCGCCGAGCCGCCCAGCAGCCGAGCCGCCCAGCAGCAGAGCCGCCGAGCCGCCCAGCAGCCGAGCCGCTGAGCCGCCCAGCCGCCGAGCCGCCCAGCAGCCGAGCCGCCCTGCAGCCGAGTCGCTGAGCCGCCCTGCAGCCGAGCCGCCCGAGCCGCCCTGTCCGGTAAGAGCAGCGCCTCTCTCACAGCACTGCCCTCACCCCACTGTTTGCGCTGCTAGTCTACTGCTGTCATGGCTACCCCTAGTGTCCTCGCTTTTGACGCTGAGGGTCGGGCCATTGACTTTGACGTCTGGATAGATGACCTGCAGCTTTTCTTACAGTGCGATAGGGCAGACGGCCTCTCCCTCTTTGACCTCACTTCTGGTGCCTCTCCTGCCCCCGCCACTGATGCTGACGCAACTGTTCGCTCCCAGTGGGCCACGCGCGATGCGGCTGCACGTCTTGCTGTGCGTCGCCACCTGCCTACCTCTGAGCGTGCGCACTTTAGCCAGTACAAGAGTGCTCAGACCTTGTACGACGCTGTAGTTGCACGCTACTCCTCCCCTGCCACTGCTGCACTGAGTCGCCTCATGCTACCGTACCTCTTCCCTGACCTTGCTGCCTTTCCCACAGTCGCTGACCTCATTACGCACCTACGCACTAGTGACACTCGCTACCGCGCTGCGCTTCCTGCTGAGTTCTGCGCCAAGAACCCCCCCCCCATGTACATCACCCTCTACTACATAGTCACCCGGCTCCCTGACTCCCTTCGCGTAGTCAGGGACCACTTCCTCTCAGTTTGCCCCACCACTCTCACCGTTGACCTCCTCGAGAAGTCCCTCCTAGCAGCAGAGAAGAGCATAGTAGCTGTAGGAGCCTCTCGTGGTGACCCTCGCACCCCCATCTTTGAGGGGTGTTCCCCCTCCCCCCTTTTGCCCTCTGTTGCCTCTGCTGCTGCGGCCGACCTCGTTGGGCTTGAGTCGGTCGGTGCGGCGTCTACCCCTAGCGGGAGACGCCGCCCTGGCAAGGGCAAGGGGGGCAGGGGCGCTGGAGGAGCTAGCGGGGGCGGTGGAGGCGGCAGTGGAGGCGGTGGAGGAGGTGGGGGTGGCGGTGGGGGTGGTGGCGGGGGTGGAGGTGTCGGTGGCGGCAGTGGAGGCGGAGGCGGCAGCGGCAGTGGCGGAGGGAGCGGAGGTGGCGGCGGTGGAGGAGGAGGCGGCGGAGGAGGTGGAGCTGGTCGGGGTGGCGCTGCGCAGAGGGTCGGCTCCGGTGGTGGTCAGCGCCAGCAGCAGCAGCAGCACCAGCAGCGCACTCGTGACATCCCCTCCCCTCAGCAGCTCCGTGAGTGGTACACTGCACGCCAGAGGGGTGGGGGTACTGGTCCGTGCACCTACGTCCTCCGCACCGGCGACCGCGCGGGTGAGCAGTGCGGGGGTGCGCACTCCACCCAGCGCTGCTTTGGCCGCCTGACGGACGCTTGGCGTCACCAGTTCCCTGAGGCCACTGAGATCCCCAGCTGGGGTGAGCTGTCTAGGGCAGGTGTGGCTGTCTTTGACCTTGACTTTGATGCTATTCTTGCTGCCATGTATACTGTGACTATTAGTGATGAGGGTGACTGTTACCGGTGTTTTCCGCCCGACCCGGGCATTGAGACTGCTGCTCTAGGTACTGGTGAGGCTGCTGCTCTAGGTGCTAGCGAGGCTGCTGCTCTAGGTGCGTCTGCTCCCTCAGGTGCTGGTGAGTCTGCTCTCTCAGGTTCTGCGTCGGCTTCGGCCTCCCACACCTTCACCCTTGACTCGGGGGTTTCTCGCTCCTTCTTTCGAGACCGCACCACACTCACGCCGCTTAGCCGGCCAGTTGCAGTCTCTCTGGCAGACCCCTCTGGGGGTCCTGTCCTTGCTCACTTCTCCACTGTCCTCCCGTGTCCGGCGGCCCCCTCTGGCACCCTGTCTGGTCTTTACCTTCCCTCGTTCTCTACGAACTTGGTGAGTGGTGCTGACCTACAGGATGCGGGGGTTCACCAGTTCACTCCTGCGAGTCGGCGGGTGACCCTCTGCACGGACGCTTGGACAGGCCGACACCTGGCCACGTTTACCCGTCGGCCGGGGTCGAGCCTGTACACCCTGACCACTGCGTCTCCTCCAGTCACTGCGTCTGGTCAGGTAGCTGCGTCGGGTCAGGTGTTTGCTGCAGCGTCCAGGTCTGGTCCTGAGTCTGCCCCCTGTTCGTGTCGCCTCCTGTCTCACGAGACTCTCCTCTGGCACCACCGCCTTGGTCACCCCTCCCTGCTTCGTCTCCGAAGCATGGCCTCCCGTGTCCTTGTCTCTGGTCTTCCCCGGTCCCTCCCTCCCCTTCCTCCGGGGCCTGGCCCTACCTGCGTCCCCTGTGTCGAGGGGCGGCAGCGGGCTGCCCCTCACTCCTCCCAGTTTCCTCCGACAGAGGCCCCGCTGCAGACGCTTCACATGGACGTGTGGGGCCCGGCCCGCGTCCGTGGACAGGGTCACGAGCGCTACTTCCTGCTGGTGGTTGACGACTACTCGCGTTACACCACAGTCTTCCCCTTGCGCAGCAAGGGTGATGTCACTGAGGTGTTGATCGACTGGATCCGCGCAGCTCGTCTCCAGCTCAGGCAGAGCTTCGGCTCGGACTTTCCTGTTCAGCGTCTGCACTCTGACAGAGGTGGAGAGTTCTCCTCTGGCCTTCTGCGAGCCTACTGTCGTGCACGAGGCATCCGCCAGACCTTCACGCTTCCGGACTCTCCACAGCAAAATGGGATTGCTGAGCGCCGCATTGGCATGGTCATGGACGTCGCCCGTACGTCCATGATGCATGCGGCTGCCCCCCATTTTCTGTGGCCGTTTGCGGTTCGGTACGCGGCGCATCAGATCAACCTTCACCCCAGGGTCTCCATGCCGGAGACCTCCCCAGCTTTGCTGTGGACGGGGAAGGTTGGCGATGCGTCTGCGTTCCGTGTCTGGGGATCTCGGGCGTTTGTCCGCGACTTGTCTGCGGACAAGCTGTCCCCTCGTGCTGCTCCTTGCGTCTTCCTTGGCTTCCCCCCTGACGCGCCAGGGTGGCAGTTCTACCACCCCACCTCTCGCCGTGTCCTGTCCTCCCAGGACGTCACGTTTGACGAGTCGGTCCCCTACTACCGCCTCTTCCCCTACCGCACTCCGTCCCTCCCCCCGCCACCGCTCTTCCTTGTCCCAGGTCCCCCCCCGGTAGACCCCCTCCCCCCTCAGGGTCCTGCCCCTTCAGGTGTGTCCCAGGTAGACGCAGTCGAGCCTGTCGAGGTTACTGGTGACTCTGGTGCTGCTGAGGGTGCTGAGCCTGGGGGTGCTGACTCTGGGGGTGCTGAGCGTGTGGGTGCTACGCCTGGGGGTGCTGAGCCTGAGGGTGCTACTACTGGGGGTGCTGAGCCTGAGGGTGCTGAGCCTGGGGGTGCTACTACTGGGGGTGCTGAGCCTGGGGGTGCTGAGCCTGGGAGTGCTACGCCTGGGGGTGCTACGCCTGGATGTGCTGAGCCTGGGGGTGCGGAGCCTGAGGGAGCTGGGCCTGCTCGTGTGGCGTCTGGCGGTGCTGAGCCTGGAGGTTCTCCGGGTGCTTCGTCTCGGCGGGAGCCACTCTCTCCACAGGAGCTGCGCGAGTGGTTTGCCCGGCGCTGGAGGCGTGCTGCTGGAGCTGGAGGTTCTTCGGCTGCTGAGGGTGCTGGTGCCGCGGGTCCCGGAGGTGCTCGTACTGGGAGTACTGGAGGGCCTGCGGGTACGACTGGAGCTGGAGCTGCTGAGGGTGTTGGCGCTGAGGCTACTGCTGTCGGTCCTGGAGGCGGTCCTGCTGGGGGTGCTGGAGCTGGAGGTATTGCTGGCGCTGGTGCTGCCGCTGGGGGTACTGGTGCTGTCCCTGCTGTGTCTGGAGTCGCCACACGGCCTAGGCCGTACTTCGTTCCGCTCCTTCAGCAGGTTCTTGGTCTCCCGCCTTCTACTGGTCCTCCTCCTCCCTTAGAGTGTCCACAGCCTGTCCCGTCACAGTTACAGTTACAGCCGGCCTCCCCACTGCCCGCTCCTTCTCCCTACACTGGTCCTACTGGAGGTCTTGCTGAGCGTCGTGAGCCTGCGTCTCGCCCTGCGTCGCCTGTCCGTACTGCTCGCACTAGTGGTCGTGGTTCGCGTCAGCGTCCTCCTCCTGTCCCTGGCACGCACCGGATGTCTCTGCGTCCGTCCACTGCTCCTCTGCGTGCCCCTTTGCCTTCTCCTCCTGAGTCCTCTCTTCCTGCTCTTCCTGACCCGGAGTCGGACTCTCTTCGTGCTGCCAGTCCTACTGTCACGCGTCTCCTTGCTACTGTTGTCACTGACCCTTCCTTTGAGTCCACTGCTGCGTCTGCCCTAGTTACTGAGCTCGTCGACTTTGCTGCTCGCTGTCGTCTAGACTACGCTGCTAGTCTTGTTGCTGAGTCTGAGTCTTTCTGTCCTCCGTCCGTCGGGGGTGAGTGTGCCCTTGGCACGGACGTCCTTGAGGACAGGCAGGAGGAGTTCCAGTGTTTGGCTGCTGCTTCACCTCATCTCGTGTCCGTACTGCTTACCCCTGAGGGAGACCCGGATGCACTTGACATCCCGACTCCGCGCTCTTACGCGGAGGCGATAGAGGGTCCCTACTCCTCTCAGTGGCAGGCAGCTATGGACGCAGAGATGGCTTCCTGGAAGTCCACAGGCACCTACGTTGACGAGGTTCCCCCGCCTGGGGCGAACATCGTCAGTGGCATGTGGATTTTCAGGGTGAAGCGGCCGCCGGGTTCTCCGCCTGTCTTCAAGGCGCGTTACGTGGCTCGTGGCTTCAGTCAGCGGCAAGGAGTTGACTACTTTCAGACCTTCTCTCCCACCCCGAAGATGACCACTCTTCGGGTACTGCTGCACATAGCTGCTCACCGCGACTACGAGCTGCACTCTCTTGACTTCAGCACTGCTTTCTTGCAGGGCAGCCTGCACGAGGAGATCTGGCTGCGTCGCCCACCTGGCTTCACTGGGTCTTTTCCTCCTGGCACCCAGTGGAGCCTCCGGCGGCCAGTCTACGGTCTCCGCCAGGCACCGCGTGAGTGGCACGACACACTGAGGACTACACTTGCGGCTCTTGGGTTTGCTCCCTCTACTGCCGACCCGTCGCTGTTTCTGCGCACCGACACTTCTTTGCAGCCGTTCTACATCCTCGTGTACGTCGACGACTTGGTCTTTGCCACAGCTGACACTGCTGGACTCGCCCACGTGAAGTCCGAGCTGCAGAAGAGACACACGTGCACAGACCTGGGTGAACTGCGCAGCTACCTTGGCTTGCAGATCACCCGGGACAGAGCACGCCGCACCATTACCCTGACTCAGTCACACATGGTGCAGCAGGTCCTTCAGCGCTTCGGCTTCACGTACTCCTCGCCTCAGGCCACTCCTCTGCCTACTCGCCACTCGCTCTCAGCTCTGCCTTCGGATGAGTCCGTAGAGTCGAGTGGCCCGTACCCAGAGCTTGTTGGCTGCCTCATGTACCTGATGACCTGCACACGACCTGACCTTGCATACTCTCTTAGCATTCTTGCACGCTATGTTGCTCCTGGGAGACACAGACCGGAGCACATGGCTGCAGCGAAGAGGGTGTTGCGCTACTTGTGCAGTACGTCGGGCATGGGGCTTGTGCTTGGAGGGCAGAGTCCAGTGGTCCTCACTGGACACGCAGACGCTTCTTGGGCTGACGACCAGGCTACGCAGCGGTCGTCACAGGGTTACACCTTCAGCCTTGGTTCCGGCTCTGTTTCGTGGCGGGCTACTCGCTCGTCTTCTGTTCTCGGCTCCAGTTGTGAGGCTGAGATCTACGCCGGGGCCATGGCTGCACAGGAGCTTCGCTGGCTCACCTACCTGCTGACTGACCTCGGAGAGCCGCCTCGTTCTCCTCCAGTGCTCTACGTAGACAACAAGGCCATGCTGGCCTTGTGTCGAGAGCAGAGACTGGAGCACAGAACGAAGCACATTGCTCTTCGCTACTTCCTTGCTCGTGAGCTACAGCAGCGTGGTCAGCTGCGACTTGCGTACGTGGCCTCTGAGGCCAACACTGCTGATATCTTCACCAAGGCACTTGCGCCTTGTGATCATCAGCGCTTCTGTACTCAGCTGGGTCTTGTACCTACCTTGCCTCACTTGCTCACCTCTTGACCTTGTTTGTACTGTTGCATATATATATACTCCTGCTCTTGCTTGTCTAGCCTTATATATATATGTAATCCTGCATGTGAACTGGCCTTGTGGCCTTGAACTTGTGCTCGGAATGTGTGGTGACTTTGTGATCCAC